TCGAGCAAATATTAGAGGTGAGTAAACACCGTGAAAACAGGATTGTGTGTATTTATGCACGTAAGAGCGAGAGACGAGTGGCTGACGTTGCTTGGAAAAATTATCTTGTCATCTCGGAAACTTTTGTTTGCATTCGCCCGGCTGACAACTAGCCCGCGGGCTATTTTTTCAACTGAAGTGGGAAACGAACAACAACTTCTTTAAAGCGGATTTAAATGGATTTTCCTCCCTGACCCCTGACTAAAAATGGCAGTTTAATTTTAGGGTGCTGAGGAAATTGAGGATCAATAAATAAAAAAATACATTTTTTGTTTGTTTGGTGTTTTTATATGAACGTTTGCGATTCATTTAAAGGTTAAAATAGTTAAAAAAAATTGTCAAATAAAAAGGTTAAAATTAATGAAATATGATAAATTTAAACTTTTTAACCAATAATCGTATTTCGTCCAATGGAAACGAGGAATTTTATATCTAATTGTGAATTTAAATTACCAAAAAATATTGCATCATAGGGAATCAATTCGTTTGGAATATCATTCTGAAGAAAGAATGCTCAATAAAGAAAAAAGCCTTCAAAAATCGGTCATTTTCATTTTATTGCTAAGGTCCTTCCGCTTTTTTTTTCGTAGTAGTTTTCAAAGAATTCATAAAAGATCTTTGACTCTCTTTCACACGGGTCGCGTATTTTTAATATCCTCTCCGGTGCTTCCTTTTGAAGCGGGTCTGGACGAAAGTTGTGATTGCTTTCGCACCCCCTGATTATAAATTCCACCATACTTTTTGTTCTTGCGGCCGCGCGAAGGGGTGCAGAGAACACGGGGGTTGAAGTTAAAGCAAACAAGGCGCCGGAGAAGCGAGAGAGTTGTTAATCAAGGAGTGACCACTAAGTCGGGCCAGTGCAGGTGGAGCGGCCGCAAACTTTGAGGTTTGCGCCCGCAATCGACAGCGCAGATTTCTCTCTGGCTACCGCCGGATTTATCATCCAGACTGTTTGTATTGGAAATAGTTGGATCTTTCAAGAAACGAGGCCAGCAGGATGGACTGGACGTTTTCACAGCCGCGGCCGCACGATCAGCATCCGTCTAATTAAATGGATTGCAGTGGATGGCTGCCAAAATTTACAACTGCTCCGGGCAACCTGTTGTAACAAATCCCTGGAAAGCTGCCATGTCCCGAAAGTTTGCGGACCATTGTATCTATACGTGACATAAAATTTATTTGCGCGGCCTTTGCATTAATTCAATTTGATGAATTCCTGTTGAAGTACAAGGAAAATCTGGCGGTCCAGCCACATTTTATGGCTAATCAAATGAACCTGCTGATTGATTGATTATCAAAAGAGCATGTGTGTATAGTGTATCGGTCTAAAAACAAACAAAAAACACCGGAGTTCTCTCAACATGTATGATCTGCGTGTTCGCCGCTAATTAAGTAAATATTCCATGTTTCAGTCAAAGGCAAATGTTTATGTGCATCAAAACGCTATAATCAAACGGCCACACCAGCATAAATAACATTTTTAATAATTCACGTTAGCGGCGGCAAGCCAATGATTTATTAAAATTAGATCGGGAAAAATCGACGGCAGACAAGAGCCGCAAAATGAATGAGTGCCGATTTCGCTTTTGATAAATGAACGCGCAAATGATGATAGATATATTGCGGGAGATATTCATCCTCCCCGTGTGGTTTGCGCTTTAAGTTTGCGGCTCATTGTAAATATACATTAATTCACTCTAAAAGGCGGAATTATAGGAAATATACAATTGCATAGGGATAGGGATTGCGTTTCCATTACACTCATAAATCTAGATTTAATAGATACAAGTTTATATCATTTTTAGAATAGTTTTTAATATTCTTTTACTTCAAGTTTATAATCATAAAACTAGATTATCATCAAATTTATACACTAATAGCGATAAGCACTTGAGAATACTTACACATTAGTGGCATTGATTAAAAATACTGATTATGCCCTGATTAATTTAATTATTTAATAATATTGTAACTTATTAATAAATATAATAATTTTAATGCAATCTTTATTTTTTTTAAAATAAAATACTAAAAATAAAATTAAAATAAAATAAGTTACACTAAAACTGGTTATTTGCCATTTAAAAAATCAGTCTTAAATAAATATAAATATTTTTAAATTTCATTATTAGAAGGCAAAATAATATTGGGGTTAAAAATTCATAAAATAAAAGTTGTTTGAAGAGTTGACACTTGAGGAGATGATCATGGAAATGATGAAGTTGGGCTTAAAATAAAAACAATTTTTTACAACGAGGACAAGCCTGACTTCTTCATTTCCAAAATAAAAGTTTCACAAAAGTATTTCTCTCCCTGCAATCTTTTTAAATCTCCAACAACATCCATTAATATAAAAAGCAAATAATATTGTAAAAACCAGCGTTCAGCACATACAGTCTTTTTAATAACGAGTATTTTGCAAAATGAACCAAAGCTTATCAATATATTATGCAAACTGCAATATCAATTATTTCATTCATAGCTCCATATAGAATATATAGCAAGAATGCAAAAATGGCTGCAGGCGATCGTTTCGCTCTTTCAAATTCACCACCGATGGATGAGATGTGAGTGTGCACACGAGAGCTATTGCGAAACACATTAACTAAATGCCGAGCGCCGGATGAATAGGGCTGGCAGCAAAGCTCGGCGGATTGTATCTCTCTTTCTCTCGGCGCGCTCCTCAGTCAACACAAGAGAGAGAACGTCTGCCGCATTCATATTGCAAAGATCAATTACAAGAGCGTGAATTATTAATGGCGGCGGTGGGATTTACGACACAAATTAACTGCGCCGGCCGAAACAGGGACTTCCGCCGCCCCATACACTTAAAAACGCGCAGAAGAGAAAAACGCTTTTGCGTCTGCAAACAAAATGCTTGTTTGCTCTCGACGAGCCTCTCTCGAGTGGAAAAGAGGCCCAATTGTTTTGACACAAACACGCTGCCTGAATGCGCGTGAGAAACCGCCCTTTCGCCTCTTCCTCCCCATGCAAAATTTAAATCGTGTGTGTGTATATTACGTCTGACGGTCTCGTTTTTGTTTCAATTTGAGCCGCTGCTTTGACGACGCGCGGGTGAAGGGTGAATGGAACGAAGTAAAAAGGCCGCGGGGCGACGAGGTGCGGTTCCGTGTCTTCTTTTCTACTTCGAATCGCAGGAAACGCTTTCCAAGAGCACAGAAGAAATAAATACGGAGCGAGGTAGGATTTGCAGATACGATGCGTGAACGTAATTTTGTTTGGTCAATATTATGTAGATTCAGAAAAGGGGTTGGTAATGCAGTACAAAAAACTTCATGTATTTGAGCGTGCAAGAGGCAAGAAAGAAACGTTTCACAGAATTAAACTGAATTTTTGCTGGTAAATGCGTTTTAAAACTTCTTTAATTTGTCAGCGTTGGAAGTTGGAAATTTAAATTGTCAATTATAAAAATTTGGATTTATATACTTTACTTTTTTAGCAAGCTTTGTGAAAAAAGTGCATTTTATAGGTAAATAAAATAAATTACTATATATTATTAATTACAACAGGTGCTCAAATATCTGGAAACCTTAACCTTATTGGATTTAAGACCATCTACGAAATGAATGGAGTATAAAGTATAACGTTTTTTTACAGAAAAATAGAAAATTTTTACAATCATATTCTCCTGCATGTGCTCAAAATGGAATCACCTTCATAGTTTTGAGTTATAATTTAAGCAATCAGGATTTTTCTCTGGCATTATTAAAGAAGAGAATAGTATTAACGCAGAGTAAAATTCCACCCGTTCGACCGGATTGAGCCGATGTTGCATGAAATTAGTCACCAAACAATTACCCCATTCAATGAGCACGATCGCATTATACACCAACGCGCGCGCGTCAAACGTTGGCAAACACAAACTCACCACATTTGCAGTGAACAAGAGAGAAAATATGTATTAATGTTCTTGCAGAGTTTATCAATAATTCTATAATTAGGAGCAGAATCCAGATTTAGAAACGTGAAGAAGGCCGTAAATTAATTGGACGCTCGTGAAAATTCACGCAGAGTCGCGTGTACTGAGGAACTGTAATTGCAGCGTCAAAAGCAGTGCTTTTCAATTACCCCGTATGCATTTTGTGGAGTATTAAATTAATATTGATCAAGTCTGAATTCAAATGGGCCTCTCTGCACGCCACAACAATGAGTGCAATTCCAATCGAGAGGTGTGTGTTTGCGGACTGTGAAGTGTGAGAACAGCCATAATTGATTTTTCCAGCCACCGCACACTATTCTCCTCCAATTAATTCCCACACATTCACAATTTAATTAAAATTCCTTGTATTTTTATTTCCAATTCCTCCATACTGGCACGAGAGCAAAAACATAATCTGGAGGAAAAAAAATACAGATTCAACGGCCGCTTGAATACATTTTATGAAACATAATTCAAAGTAGCCGGCCAATCAGGAAAGGCGCGCTTAACTCTTTTAAAGGGTTGTTATCGGAGCCAACACTTGAGCTTGCATGAGGCACGAACCCTCTCAGTCGACCGCCGCCGTCGTTTAATGTTTCTTTCTTTTTTCGGAGTGAATTTCATTATGCAAATCAATTAACACTTGGAAAAGCAGCGCTACTTTTGAACGGGGAAAAGAGAGAGCGTGCAGTGCTGTCGGTCGCTGCTGGGACGGAAAAGAGGAGGGCGCGCGCTTTAGAGGTAATTGATCTCTGATGGAGGCTCCTTGGAGGAAAGGCGGCGCACACGGCGCCGGATTCATAAATTTCGTGGTCTCGCGGGTGCCATGCACGTCAATCAAACTTATTTATTTATAAATCAAAGGCTCAGTCAGCTCGCAGATGAATGCAGACACACTAAATAAATCCTCGGAGGGAAACGCATGTGTCAATTTATTGAGTGACAGAGTGGCGCCGAGCAAGTTTTCCAAAAACTCCATTACGTTCTGATATATATTCAAATTACTTCCAATATTATCAGTGTAGGTTCAATTAAATTGTTAAAGTAAATTATAGAAAGGTTTTGATTAATTAAATTATTTTATCTATGCAAACAGGAATTTTCTGAGTAGTTATTTTTCAAATATATATAATTTTAGTTTGGCCTAAATCTATTCATCGAGGCGTAAATCGCAAAACCAAATCTGGCGTGCAGGGCCCGGTCGGGTCCGCTAAATTCAAAACGGAAGCGTCTTATCAAAGTTGCAAGCACAACTTTAATCTGGAGTAGGGCAAACTTTCGGCCTGCAAAGTTACACAAGTATAATTAATTACCCCTTAAATCCGATGTCAAATTATTGCAAAACAATATTGCGTTGTTGAAACGAACCTAGGCAATTTCTCGGTCCGCCGCTAAATGGAATGTAAGCATAAGGGTGCCTGCTTTCCGAATTTTCAGGCAGAAATCGATCAGGATCAAATTTATTGGGCTCTTTGAAAATATCTGGGTTGCGGTGAACGTTATAAATGTGAATGTTGACTGCAGTGCCCTTTGGGTATTCTATTTCATCTAGAATTAATTTTGTGGTTATTACCTCAATATGATAGTGTTAAAAATTTACCTAATTCCAAGGGTTCGTCGAGAAATCTAGAAATCAGAGGCACAGGTGGACGGAGCCGTAAGGTTTCTTTCACTACTCTGTCCAATAAAGTTAATGAGCTAATATCATCAAAACTTGTACTTGATGAAATTAAATTTATTTCCTTAAAAACATCCTCCTGAAAATAAAACGAAATTTTATTGTAGAGAAATAATATTATTTAAATTTGTTGAAATTAGCATAAAATTTAAATTTTTAATGGTGTAAAATCCCGTTTTATACCTGGATATCAGAATTGCACCCCAAGTAGAAAAGCGCCCAAGATATCGAGCTGGATGTTGTGTCGCGACCCTGTAGCAAGCAAAGCAAGTTGAGCATAAAAAGTGGAACGATCAGAGTGGAGATTAAATTGACAGTTCGATTCCATTTGCGGCCTGGGTTGCACTCACTCGGAACATAAAACTGTCGACTTGCTCACAGATGTCTTGATCTGATAGGTCTCCGTTTTCGCCCTCACTTAGCTCCAGCAAAAGGTCCAGAAAGCTGCGGCCATTCTTTGCACTCATTCCGTCGGTTGCTTTGGGTGATTTATAATTAATTCAATTAAAATAATCTCATTTTATCTTTAAAATGAATATACTCGTTTTCTCCTCGAGTTTTTCCATCGAATTCGGCACGATTTTTATCTCAGTCAATTTTTGCGCCCTTTCCAGTCGCTTCTCAGCAATAATCTATATTTTACACACATTTTTTACATTAAAGAAATTATCCGTCTTATTACATTCTTTGATTATGGGCACGTACTTCTCTCATGAAGCCGTGCAAAGTGCGCAGGCATCGCCTGAACTCGATTCCAGTCGGCGAGACGTGGAAAATACACTCCGGATGAAGCCACGGACGCATGGAGCGATAGACAATGAGCCCCATTATCCTGCAAAGGGATTTGCAAAATGAATGCAAAACACGCCGCGTGTACTGTATATGCATGCACAATGGAATAGGAGAAGCGCGCGGCGTGTTAGGCGTGAAAGACAAGAAGAATAAGCAGCCGTTTGCACAACCAAGAAGCTCTAATGTGCAATTGAATATGTCAGCTCCACTTGCTTAGCTCACGGTACAAGCGAGCAGAAATGTGATGCAATCAGCCCCTGATCTGCACACGTAAGGTATTCATACTAGAACTTCCGTCTAAAGTACATGCCATGCAATCTTGCGAGTACAGCACAATTATTGATTTTTATGGTTTTATTAATATCAGTCATATCACATTAAGAATACAATTTTATAGGTCAATAGAAAAAATATATATGAAAAAATGCTTTGTTTTTTAAAAAAGGTTAAAATTTTTAATTAATAATTTATGTAACAAATTAAATAATTTTAATTAAATTTAATAGTTTTGATGGGACTCCAACTGATGAATTTATCCACTTATTAAGTCGGCTTTATTTTTATTAATTTTAATTAATTACAATAAAGGTAAAAGCTTTTTTATTGGAATTAAAATAATTAATCCAAGACAACATTAATAAGAAACTAAAAAAGGAGCTACTTGGAGTTTCAACTTTTCGTCTAACCTCTGAACGCAATTAACAATTTCAATGTGTTGGGAATCCTGTTGCATGGCGTGAATTTTCCTCCCAAGAGCAACCTCTGAAATAATCAGCAAAATATTAGCCAAAATTCAGGCTGAAGCGATTAGCATCAAGAGCAATCAAGTGTTTTCAGCTCTGCCGACTTTTTCAGCCTCTCCAAAGCACACACAAAAAAGCTCAAAATTCAACATTGGCGCAATACAACGCGTTTCATTGCTGAACACACAATACAACTTGTGTAATGTAGCGAAATGCGAAAAAATTATCTCTCTCTCTCTCGCTCGCAACGGCACAAAACAGAATTAATGGAGTGCAAAAAGCGCGAGCACGGCGCCTGCGAAATACGACACATAGGCAACTGGCTCGACGGTCCGGCGGGTGTGAAAAAATTCAACGGGGGAATCAAAAAGGGAGAGATAATTTGATTCTAATTGCCGCTACACACACGTCGATAATTTTTTGCACCGCAGATGATGTCGAGGGCGCAGAGGGAAATCAAGGGGACAATATCGATTGCAGGCTGCTGATCGGCCAGAAGCTCCAATTTTTCTGTCAGCACAGCCGCGTGTTCGCTGATCGTCTGCAGGCCCTCGAAACAACTCTCAAAAGACGGCGTCAGGATTTCCCGTCGAGTGTCCCACCTCGGACCTGTCACAGTGGAAATAAACAGGGGACAAGTTTAATAAATCCATTTTTTAATATTTCCGCCGAGAGGCAGAGATGGGAAGACGCGGGATCAACAGGTGTGTCACCTCTCTTGTGAAAACACAAACATTCTTGTATATGAAACGGTAGAATGTTTTTTTTTTATCCGAAAAGAGCTGCTGCACTTTTTACTACACTATAGTACGCTTGTCGCACACAAAGCCAAACAGTGTAATGACTTCTGCCAGCGAGCTCAAAAGCTTTCTTTTTCTTTCTTTCTTTCATACTCACCATTGCGGGGGGAGAAGAGGCAGCTCTCGACGAAGCGGTAATCTCGACTTTTCCGCGTGTTTTTGCCGCTCGCCAACACTTTCTGCAGAGAGCAAAAGTTTTAATTGACTGTTTTTCTCGGTCATAAAGTGGCAAATTAGTTTTGTAAATAATGTGACATAAAAAGCCACAACTACGTGTGTCAAGAGAGCTCTGCTTTTTTTCCTGCGCTCACCTCTACGTGCTCGGGCAACAGCAGGTGAACCACGGGGGTGGTGAAGTGCCACGTGCGGTACAAAGGCCAGTATTCACGAGCAAACCCGTTGTACTTGTCAAAAACTTCTTTAAAAGTAAAAATTATAAATATTTGAGAAAAAAAAACTGCAATAACATGCAATTAACAAATAAACAAATAAAAATGGGAGAAAAATATATAATAAAAATAATCTAGAATCACTTACAATTAAACTCTGGAACTTAATATATTTATATGAAATAAAAATATAAAAATAGAAGCAGGAACTTTTGATGCTGAGTGTAATTAAAAATTCAAAAATAAAATTTCTCCTTAATTTTATAAGGAGATTGACACACAAATGCTAATTTTATTGACTTCATCTTATATTTTTTTATGTTTTTGAAACTGGCATTAATGAAAACTGGTTAAAATCAGTTAAATAGTTTTGCTAAATACCAAGCAGCCTTCTTAATTTAAACAATGCGATAAATAATTAAATGAAATCAGATCATTCATCAACTCGAAAACTAGACTGTTTTTTTTTTTTTTGCATCATCTATCCATATTTATTTTACCAAATTAATAATTTAGCACTATGTGCCCCAATTCATTAATAAAATTTGAGCAGTTTAAAAAATGGAACAGGGCTTCGTTCTGGTATAAGTGGAGCTCATAAAATATTGAAGTTTGTAGCGTTAAAAAAATTCAGCATTTTTTTTTTTTTTGTGTTTTGAAATAAATTCATCTCTCTGAATGAGGGAAACCCCGGTTAATGACGATATATTAAATTTTTTCCAATGACAATTAATTACGTTTCATTCAATTAGAGTTCCATTGATGGGAATAATAAATTAGGCTAATTTGTAATTGAAGCAATTTGAAGCACTCAACCGCTTGGAGACCCTAAAAGGGCGAATACGTTCCCAACGAACGGAAGCGCCGGCGGCCCCGGCAGCTTATCCACGGGGTGTTTCCGTAATCTCGCCAGGCAAAACGCAAGCAGTGCCAATACGCTCATTATAATCAGCATGGTTCCGACGAACCTTCCTGGAATCCGTGAGCAGGGGGAATGGTGAAGATGAATAATTAATTAAGGCACACAAATACCAGAGCACATGCATTAATTCGTCCTGCATATTGCGCAACATCTAGATCGGAAAGGTCAATGGACCGTGTTTAATCAGCGTGCAATTCAAATATTTACCCACCCTGTCGCTGCAGTATATATCCTAATTATGCAACACGTGTATATTGGCAGCTGGCAACAGGAGCACTGGGGCAAACTGCATTAGCAGCAGTCTCAGCATCCGAATCCCACCAGCAGAGAGAGGAGAAATTAAAATCATGCATACGGCCAAAGTCGGTTTAATACTACATAATAGTGAAATGCGACTCTTTGGTCAATGATAGTCCCCCCACTTTACACATCCACGCGTGTATTATTTGGTAACAGACAATTTAGAAAGGACCACATTTGTGTAATTAACCTCATGCTCGATGCATGGCGCTGAATTGTTTAGAAAGTGTGTCGTAATATTATTCTGTGCTGCCGATATTCAATAGTAAAAAACGAGTCGTCATGCTCCTTGACGATTGTCAACCAGAAATTTCTGGTCCGCCCATATACAACTTTAATTATCACTATTCATTCTCAAATTGGTTAATCACATGACACAGCATGAAGAAGTAGTTAAAAATCAACATTGATCAATACAACTAAAAAAAATCAAGTTAATTACTTTTGTTAAAAATATTGAAACAACAATATTGGTTTTGTACAACGGGTTTTCTTTCACTTCAGTTTGAAACCAAATTTATTGCAAAAATAGTCCAGTGGTTACAATCAAAGGAGTTTAATTTAACGAAGCCTGACGCAGTCTTCTGTTGTAGGAATAAAAGGTAACATATCAGTACAAATCAGTCATTTTTTCGCCACCTCTCGGTAAATGTGCACCATTTCAGCCACCAAGCTGACGTTGGTGGTTTTGACGTTGAGATCCTGAGTGCCCATGCTGCAGGCTGGATTGTGATGCACAAGAACCGCTTGGCTTTGCCTGGCTGACGCGTGGAACTCAAAAGCACCGGTTTTCTCGAGGATGCGCTGCAAATTTTTGCCGTCCACTCCGCAGCCAGGCATAATTGTTATCCGGCTTCCGGCCTGATTGATCAGCAGTTGGAGAAGATGGATGCCTTCTTCTGCTGTTGCAGCCTGAAAAACAGTAGAATTGTAAATTAATTTTTTAATTAAATATTAATTTGAGATTCTAAATTTCTTTTTGTTTTTAAATCAACTCACAAAAAATGTTGAATTTATTGTTTTGTTAAAATTCACAATAAATTTTCAATTCAATCAATTTTCTGAAATTCTTTTGTCAAATAAGTAGAAATTATAACTTATTTTGAGAGATAATTTTTGTTTGGAAAAATAATTAACTTTATTGATGCAAATTTAAAATATAAACCAAACTCACATGTCCACTGGTCAAAATTCTATGAAATCCAAGTTTAATTATATCTTCAAGAGCTCCGGAAGGGTCATGGGTCCAGTCGAAGGCCCTGTGGAAGGTCGTTGGGGTGCCTTGGGGTAGAGAGTTGATAATTTTTTTGCAGGTTTCGACGTCGACGCACCCATCGGCCGTGAGTGCGCCGAAGACGACGCCGTCGGCGCCGGCGTTCAGGAGGCTCTCTGCGTCAATTTGGATGGCCTCGACCTCCTCGAGCGAGTACGTGAAGTTCCCTGGACGTGGACGCAGCATGACAAAGACAGGAATGCTGACGGCCTGTTTGACCATCTTGAAGAGACCCAGGGAAGGCGTGAGGCCACCCTCGGAAAGGGCGCTGCACAACTCGAGACGCGAGGCGCCGCCCTGAACGGCTGCCACGGCCGACGCCAGACTTTCCACGCAAACTTCCATAACTGAAACGTAGAAGAGAATCATTGGGAATTCCAGAAATTAATTCAAAAAAAATAAATAAAGGTATCAAATTTGTATTGTTTAAAATTATATTTTTTATAAAAACAAATATCTTGTGGCAATCAATGTAACTCTATTAATAGTCTAAAATTATTCCTTCAAATATATAAAGAAATGGCAAATTTGAATTAAATATAAACAATCCCAAATTACTATACTTTTAATAGCACTACTTATAAAAGTTTTTCTTTTGACTGAATTTTAGTTCTAATTATTAGTTTTCATTAAAATTTTTGAGCCCTTTTTTTGAAATAAAATCCAAGACCGAAACTTCTATCACGTTATTAAGTCATAATTATATAATCGATTATAATAAATCATAAAAATCTTCAAACTGTAAACAACAATCCGGAAAAATCAATATTACCGCAAGTAATTTTGGATAATCTGAAATCCAGAAATCCGCAGAGAGCCGTGGACGTTTCGAGTTGTTTTGGCTGGAGTTTGCTGGTGTGGCCGTCAGAGGTCAGCGCAGGCCAATCAGCTTGCTGGCTTTTGCGTGTTGTTTGCGAGCGTGAAGCCAGGTTCACAGGTTCAAACGGTTATACCGGCAGGGGGCGGGGATATCGGTAACCGGTTGTTTGTGGAGCGGGGTGGCGCGACGTATTTTTATAATTTGAATCCAAAAGCACACGCGAATGACACCCGAGCTGGAATTTATAGTTCACTGCGTACTACCTTTTCCGCGTCTCAGGAACTAGTATTTTTATGCATGCATATTTAATAAAATTAAAAAATATATGTCATATTTCATCACCTTCTTAAATTTAAATTTAGAAATAATATTATATAATTATCAGCAGAATATTTTTACGAACATGGTCAAAATAAAATAAGTGAATTAAACCCAAATAAAATAAGAATATTACGGGCATTCATTTTAATTAGGCTGTGGTGTATTGTATGAGATCAAAGTATAAAAATGTTTTGGTTTAACACAAACGCGGAAGGTAAAATTTTTATAATTTTATTGAGTTGATATTTTTATAATTATAATTTTTTTTAATATTTGGATTACGGTCATATTTAGCACAGATGATTATTTAAAAGAGCCTTATTGATTCCTTCTTTTACTTGTTTAAGTCTCAAATTTTTTCCACTGTTCTGAACAAATTTATACATATTTTTTTTTTTTAAATTTTACAAGCTATGTATTCATAAAAGAGATATTTGCCTAATAGCTTCCTTGTTATCTTTTATATTTAATCAAATGTTGATACCAATTTTTTGAGATTGAAAAATCTTTTATATATTTCAAAAATTTAATTATTCGGATCAATAGGACCAAAGTTACGATTTTTTGAGTTTTCGTTTTTACAGAAACTTGAACAGCGCAATAACGCCGATGTCTCTCTTGTGTGAGACGACCGCGGCTTTTTAGTCCAAAAATTTTTGGGGCGGGTCGCGGAGTTTTTATTAATTATCTCGCCTGCTAATGAAGTAAAAATTGAGAAAATTCACAACTAAGCTCAAATACATCTATTGTTTTTTTATTGTGAGAATTCAGATTCTGAAACAGCTATTCAAAATTATTACAGTGTTTTTTCCACTTCAACTTTGACTGCAGCACATAGATTTCAAGTAAAAAACACAAATAAATTATGATTAGTTGCTTAAAGACTTGGCTCAAAACACTTGAAGCGTTCTTGTCAATGGCGTTAATAGAATAATTTAAATTTAATTCAACCTTCTTAAAAATGTGATGTTCATACTAAACTGCCGAGCGCAAATACTTTGCTCCCACTGGTCCGAATCGCATAATTCTAACGATGGTTGATTCAAAATTTTAAGCTCCAGAGCAAGAAGGTATTGTTAAAGCTCTAAGTGCCCTAGGTCACCCGCTGCCCTCTTGACCTCTGGTTTTTAATTTCAAATTAACTTTCATCAAAATTTGACAATTTTAATGCTGATTTCAACAAACCTAATATTGGCCGTATCAAAAATTGTGCACCCACATAATTATATTTTGTAAAATTAATAAATAATTTAGGAGAATAAGTTAGGAGCGCATTCTCATGCTATTTGTATATACGCTTTGTGAGATTTTCAACATTTTTAAGTCTCCTTGGATCACCTGTTTTTTGTGTTCTCTATTGTTATTGACGATTGCCTATACCTGACATGCTTCCTTCTCTTCTTCCACCCCCACAAAAATCTCCAAAGCAGGCAGCAGCAAGCGACCGATCTGTTTAGTTAGTGAGGCCGCGGCCATCCTCTGATAAACAAGTATGATTCTCGCCACTCGTCTTGTGTCGCGGTCGATCGTGACAAAAATATTTAAATAATTAAAAAAGTGAGTGTAAATATAAGGAATTTATAATAATTATAACGTGTTTAAATTTTCCAAACTTTATTTGAAATAAATATGAGAATAAAATATATATAATTTTAATTTTAACAAATAATTATTGATAAAAGCTGTTAAAATTAGTTAAAATTGGAAAATAAATATAGTTGAGATTTATGAATTTTTTTTACAATTAGCTTCTTGAACTTATGCGTGTTATCATCGCGGATCGCGAGTTGACCCAACCACGATGCACCGGGCACCCATAAATAAATAATTATTTTACTATTTTTAGCTTCTTTAATCTTTATATTGATAAAAGTTTGGGAATAAAGATTTTCGCTTCAACTATGCAATTTAACGACCGCGCAGAGTGCAGAGCTATAGGATTAATTGGATTAAAAAATGATTTCAGATTAAGATTGCATTATGCTTTCCGCAATTGCAATGGGCTTTTTTTCATGTTTGAATTTTGAAAAATTTAAATTACTAAATACTAAATTATGAGAATAATTAATCGTAATTAATAATGCTTTTTGAAAAGAATGCAGTCGCAAAAAGGCCAAAATGGGGCAATTGCCCCTTTTAAAAGGTCGATAATTAAATAATTTGACAATATGAATCATCTATTGATATATTGAATGATATAATATGATATTAATGATATACGCGATCGAGCGATCTAATCCTTGCAGCCTAGCGGACAGCGGGCTCTACTGCCTGCGGCCTGCGGTACTTTTGCTTTTGTTAAAAAAAAAAACAATTGACGATCGGCCGATAACCGGTTGTTGTTACGATCTCTGAACCTCAGAAGCTCTGAACCTGGCTTCCCGGGCCTGTGTTGTTTGTGAATTCGTCGCTCCAAGCTGTCTCTCCTGAAGCCGACGTGGCCAGCTCGGAAGCTCACTCGCCCAGCCGCTCTGTCAATTTTCCAGCCTTTTCCATTCCAGACTCCTCCGACCCACACAATGGCCCCGAAACAAAGAATGAGAATCGCCAACGAGAAGGCCAGCAAAAATGTGACCCTTCGAGGGAACGTCCCGAAGACTACCGTGAGTTCCAAAATCGAGCCCACAAAACTGCCTTTCACATCTGCACACTGAACACGTATTTCGTGTTTGTCCCACTTTTGCGAATATTTTATACTTTTTTGCGAATCTTTTGGCTTGAAATATAATATTTTAATTATAATCTGCCATAAAGTGTAATTATTTGATCTTGAATTGCTAATTTTCGTCTGAAAATTGTTCCATATGCGTGGCGCTGTTTCCTTCGGCATTGACCCTTGATGCCTCCAACTTATTTGCTTGTGTTTTTACATTGAGTTAAATAAAGGCCAAAGTATGTAAATACTTAAATAAATATATGATACAGAATATAATTTTTAAATGGAATATTTTGAGGCCTCGAGCCTCGATCTCTTTCGAAACTTCCTATTCTTTAAAATTATAATTTCTATCACTAATCTTGGCGACTTTTTTCCTGCAGAAGAATAATAATATATTGATATTTAAATTTCCAGAAACAAAGTGATGAGAAATATCCTGTCGGACCCTGGCTGCTTGCTTTGTTTGTTTTCGTCGTTTGTGGATCAGGTGAATATTTTGATAATTCCAAATTTCTTGTTATTTTTTGTTATTTTTTTTAAGCCATCTTCCAAATCATCCAGAGTATCAGGATGGCGTAAACTGTTGTGATGGCGTCTATGCTAAATTGAAACCATTGGACTTGAATGTGGACGTGACAACTGTAAAACAAACAGATCAAACTTCCGCCTTCAGCGACTCAAATCTTCTGTCCACCTCACTGCAAATTGAATATTCGTCAAGAAACAGCACAAACTTCCTGAAAAAATTATTCTTTAATCTTCTCACAATCATTCCCAGGGGTACACCATTTCAAAAGTAAAACAAAAAAATTCAAGTGGGCAGTTTATATAAAAAAAAACTATGGTGCCCTTTTCCATTTTTGTAACTGACAGTACAGCATCAATTTTCCAGTGCTTGAATATCATATTGTAAAACCCCTCACTTCTCAAGAAAAATTCTTTGTTAATTTATAATTCGCGATTTTTGTTATTTAAATTTTATGTTTGCACTTAAAATCAATTAAAAAGAAAAATTGAACAACGGCTGGAAAATGTCACTTAAATTATTGCAGCAACAAATGTATGCAATAAAATGTTGGAAAAAATTTACGTAAACAAACTCTTTAATTCCGTATAAATATATAACTCCATATCACCTTTTATTGAAATAACAGTTAAATGCAATTGCCAAAACAAATAGTCTTCATCTCTTTATGGCCGCCCTCCAGTACCACCTGCCAGATCATAGACGGCCCTGGCGACCTCGTCAGCCAGGCAGTCAGCTTGTGACTTTGACGAGGCTTCAGCATAGACTCTCACAACATCTTCAGTCCCTGAAGGCCGAACAAAGGCCCTGCCCTTTTCGTACAACGCCACGGTGGCGTCAATTTTGTCCTGCAGTTTTTCTGGCAAAACGCATTTTCGCTCTGCATCAGTGGTTGTAACCACATTTCTGTCCTTGACAGTGACCTTGAGCTGTCTGCTCGGCAGGTCAGTGTACGCCGTGTCCCAGTCGGCAATGCTCCACCCCTTGGCATGCAGGATGGTCTCAACTAGAAGCAAGTCCGACAGCGCGTCTCCGACAGTTTGGTTGATCAGCTCGCCAAAAAGAAGCAGCTTCTGTGCCGCTTTATTCTCCGTCTCTCCGAGGTTGGTGTCCTCGACGGCTTGTTTGATGAGATTGGTTGATTTTTGGCTGTAGATGACTGTGCCGTGGCCATTGGCTTCAAAGTAAACACCGATGTCAAACTCGAGGGCCTTGTGGTGGAGGTGCTTTACTCCAGTTGGCACACAAGCCACTGGCACCTATGAGAAAGGACAAGAATCATTAATATTAACAAAATAACCTTTATTATGTATTGAAAAAACATTAGATTTTGTGTATTTAGAAATTAAATTATAGAAAATTGAATTTGTCTAATTTTAGTATTATTAAAATTAATTTAAATAAAATATTTGTTGTTCACCTTCAGCGTCTTGGAAATATATTCTGTGGAGCTTCCGTTGGCATAAGCTGTCTGCACAAGGCCAAGATTAAGTTTCAGTTTGGACGCCGCTACCAAATCCATCAAGTGTCCTGCTACCAAAGTGGCAATTTTGTCTCCGTCCAGTAGATGAAATTGATTGGAGCTGTCGGTGTAGAAGTAGACGATGCGATCAGCGTCGCCGTCCACGGACACTCCACGTTTGTCTACAAAGAGTTTTACGCCTTCTGGAATGCATTGCCTAACCTTGACAAAGTCAGCACCACAGCTGAAATTCAGTCTGCCCTCCCCAGTATTGTACATGGTCACATTAAGCCATTGTTTCAACATTTCGTTAAACTTGGCCATCTTCTGAGCGCCAACACCGTTTGCTCCGTCAAAGTTCAACTCTGATTTGTAGTTGCCGTTGTCTCTGGGCAAGTTTTCCATCTCTTTGAGCCTCTCGAAGGCGCTGGTGATTCGATAGAAATATCCCTCTTCAGTGGGCTTGCCCAATTCTCCGGAAGCATTTCTGCTGGCAACCACAAAGTGCAGAATTGGTGTGGACACGATCCCAATATCTTTGACCTCGGCGCCAAGAATTTTGGCTCCTTCAATAGCTGCATCTGCTAGAGATGGACTGCTGGATCTGGTGTCCCGTCCGACAAAGACAAATGGACTCTGGGCTGCGTCTTCTAATGAGTTTCGAGATACCACCGCAGTCAGCAATTCGACCAGTTCAGTTTGGTTTTTGGCATTGGCAATTTCTGTGGCTATTACTTCCCATTCCGGCTCCAGCATCTCGCCCTGAGGATCACACAATTTGACTCCATTGTCTTCCTCCGGGTTGTGAGAAGCGGTGATCATGACTCCAACAGCCGCCCTTTTAACTGACGCTCTCAAGGCGGCTAACAACCCCATACGGTACAAGACGTGGGGTAGTTTCTCAGCTCGCTCGCGGAAACCGGCTGTTCCATACTGGATTGTAAACTTGAATGAATTCGAGTTTACATACTTTTCTCCCTGTGCAGCAGCATTGATAAGATTTTCTTTGCTGAACATTTTGAGTCTGGAAAAAATTGTTAGTTTAATTAAAAGTGGCAAATAGAACTCTGAAAATAATACCTTTCAAAGTAAAAGTTGCGTGCGTGTTGAGATACCGTTCGAAGAGCGGTCTGACTCGCCTTGAGTAGAAGAAAGTTGTTGCTAATCAGAACATACATCCAGACGGGGGCGGAGCCATATTTTTTTATAATTTGAATTTTCCGGGACGTGATCTTTCATTTAGCCAACATTATAAAGTAATCACGCCATTAGAAAAACTAATTATATCAATTTTTCAAATTAAATACATTATATATGTTTAATATAACTATTTAAATATAAATTTAATGGAAAAAACTTCTATTTGGTGATATAATATAAATTTTTAAGATGCAGACATAAAAAACTTTGGTTGGTGTCAGTGTCGACAGCTGAGTCTCCCTCCTCAACACCCAGCCGCAAGCCGTCAACATCCTGCAGCTCGGCTAATTTTGCGAGTTTCGCGAGCAAGAACCTCCTCTCCACCTTTTTGCATGTTATTTTGCACTAACATCGACGTGTAAATATGTCTGTGATAAGTTTCATCGAGCATTATCAACGCAGCATAAAGAAGAGCGAGGATGACGAGGGCAGGGTAAAGAATTTCGCTTTCATTGTTAGACTAGAAAACCGTGTGTCCCTCAGTCGAGTCAATGCCGATGACAAGTGACAAGCCTTGACGTCCATATGTACTGTACCTTAAGCTACTGCTACACGTACTGAAATCGGGTCAAAGTCAACCTCATCCGATCGTGCTGAAAGTGCGAACAGGCCGAGGCTGATATAAAAATAATCTTTTAATTTAAAATAGAAAATTCCCCTGTTCTCTGTCGCTCTTCACATTGGGGAGAAACCGCTCGCGTACTACAACTTCGACAACTTCATCCGTCTTACTGATGACGCTAGCAAAATTTTATTGTTTGTTAAAAAATTGTTTTAAAATTATCATCTCTTATTTTCAGTTCCTTCTTTCTGATTACAAAGCGGTCGCATTATAATTTTTTTTAACAATTTCTTTTTAATTATATAAATTAAAACTTAAATGATAAATTAAGTTCTATTTTTCACTGTTTCAGCTACTACACTGCCTTGAAAAGCTTGCAAACTTGCATGTAAAAGTTTCTGACCTGCAAGCAACAGGGATCGGACGCACCGTTAATTCTCTACGTAAAAAGCCTGGAAAAGTTGGAGAAACTGTCCGAGCCCTAGTGGCCAAATGGATGGAAATAGTGGAGAGCAACATGACTGAGGATGAAGAGGCCCAAGACCAATCTGGTACAATTTAATATTTAGTTAATACGTAAAAGCCTCTATTTTATATGCATAAAAATTTAAACCGGAATTATTCTATTTTTATATTAACACTTTATGCTAGTTTTTTTTTAAAAAAGCCTATATGGTGCTCTCTTCTGCTTTTAAATTTTTAAGAAATTTGTGTGAATTGCATACAGAATTTCAGATTTTGCTAATTCTGTACAGGTGACGAAGGCCATGCCAAGGAGAATGGCCGTCCAGATAGATTACTCGAAAAAAGTGTACTCTCGCCAGAAAATGGCACTAAAAAACACAATGGACTAGACTGTAGTGATAAAAATAAATCGACACGGAGCCACCAATCCTCCTCCCACCGTAGCAGCGTAAAGGAAGAATTTCACAAAGAAGAAAAATCAAAACATCGACACGGCTCAAGTGTGGATGACCGGAAAAGAACAAGTTCCTCAGACCATAGGCTAGACGCCTCAAAATCGAAACACAAAAGCAGCAGGGAGGACAAAGACAGGGATAGGTACTCATCGAATAGCAAGAGACCCAGAGAAGACAAGTCGCCAAAAAAAATTAAGAGAGAGCCTGTTGACGACGAGTTAGACAACCTGAATATGAAAAAACTAAAAATCTCCTCCCTCAGTGAACCTCCAAGAATTAAGGAGGAACGTCTCAGTCCCAGTTTAAATGCCGCAAGTAAATACGAAAAGCGCTCTTCGGTGAAAGTGAAAAAAGAAATTAAAAAGGAGAAGGAAAGTTCTAGTTTTTCCAGCTCTTTTGACATGGACGTGGTTATTCCTAAAATGAAGCAGGAAGATGCAAAGAAAGTGAAGGTTAAGAGTGAACGGCTAAGTCCTCCTCCGGGCTCCTCTAAGGACAAGGCTAAGCCATCGACGTCGAAGCTACATGCGCATGTGAATGTGAAGAAGGAGGTGAAAAAGGAGAAACATTCGGACAATTCGACAGACGAGGATGGTGGTGCGAATGCTGGCTTTAGTTTTGAAGATGCCTTGGGAAATCTCGATTACACTCCTACCAAGAAGAGTAAAGAGAAGAAGAAAAAGAGTGTTCCCAAGACATCATCTGTGTACAAACCCCTTCCTAGATCAGACGTATGTAATTCCATTCAATTGGTTTTTGGAATCTTACAAAGGCTCTTTATTTCAGGAATTAGCTTCATTGCTAGACCAGCCTGCCCTAACGTACAGACCGTTGCCGCATGTCCCACTGAAGAGTTCGAAACCCATTATATCGGAAGCTGACGATTTTTCTGATGTGCTAAAAAATAAAAACCAAAGGTCAGTGTCAGTGATAGATTGGTTGAGTATCTATTTGAAATTTAATCTTATTTTTGTCCTCAGAACTAAAGTTTATTCGGGGATGAAAGCATTTCATGGCGAAGTACCCACTTTGCAAGATTTGTGCATCAAGATACTGCAAGATAATGTTGATGGTTGGTCATTTTCTTTATAAATAAAGATAAATTCTCATTTCATATTTCTGCACAGCTTTCGAGCATGTAGGCAGTGTGCCATTCTTTTTGCTCGAGCCAGTGTTTTCACGGGCAAATGCATCGCAGCTGGCTCGCATAGAGCACTACAATCCGCAATTTGTAGAAGATCTTGACGCTCTATGGGAGTCTTTGGTCAGCAATGAGTTTAAGACTGCTATCAGGCAAGAATATGAATGCTGGAGAGATGTTTATGAGGTTGAACAATTAATTTCCATAGTTTGTTCCATCGGTTACTTACAAATTTTCCTTTTTTTCTATTTCAGAGATCGCTTTCTGAAAGGGAAGATAAAATGTCTCAGCTCGCTGCAAAAATAAAAGCTAATAATGAAGCCAGGAAAGCTCCACAACGAACCACCAAGTTAGCTTTTGAACACTCTTTGGTCAAGCCTCCTCGGAGTGTACGGAAACAGCAGGTATCTTACAAAATAATTGTGCATTTGTCTGTTTTTAACCTATAACTTTTTCCAAGGAAAAACATGGGACTGCTAGAGGATCTCTTCCAAGCAAAGTTTCTCAATCTTATGACTCGAATGAGGCTGGCCCGTCAGGAATGTCGTCCAAAGAGAGCACACTTGCTCGCACTGTCGGTCTCTTAAGAGACGGTCCTTGTAAGTCAAAAAGAAACTTCGATGAAATATTCTTCAATGCTATTGAAATTTAAAAATCCATTTGCAGCTACTGCGATCAAAGGTAAAAAGAGGCCAGCACCATTGATGCAGAAGACACTAAAATTCATGAAGACCAATTTTAGGCGGTGAAAAATTTGATTTTATTTATGATTTATGACTTTATGAGTGTTATCATTGAATTTTGATTAGTGTCCTAAATAAAATATTTCAATTTAAGGCAGATCATACTAAGTGATTTCTTTTCATATGGTTTATTTTGCCTAGATATCTCGCATCTTGAATGTAAATCATGCTGTTTTTTTCCAATTGAAACTGATTTTTGCTTGATCTCAGTAATTTCAAATATTAATTAAAGAAAATCGTCAAAATTAATTCATTTTGATTAATATAAGGGAGATACATATTTTCAATCTGAGTAAGTATGTCTATGCCAAAATATTTTTTTTATTCTGAAACCATTTCTTCTTTTTAAAGAAACACGTGAAAATGGTAAAAAAAGAACTAAAATTATAAATTCATTCAATTGAAAGCTAATTATTATCTCTATGAATAAAATTTGTAAAATTTATTTTCGATCAGTCATTCCGATTCCTGCTTAATTGCTTGAATCAATGTAAATTGAACAATTATATAAGTTTTTATCATTTTATTCCAAGATAATTAGCTAATATTTTAATCAATTGCAATCTTTTCATATTATTTAAGCACCCGTTTGACATAATAATTAGTACTTTCATAGGTAAAATTAATTTTATAAACAATATTTTTACTGACAGAAAATAGTTATGCACAAAATAATTTTTCCTGACTTTTTTTACGGCTTAAGTCTTCAAAAAACTTATAGATAATATCACAGGGTTATATTTAAGTATCACCTTGTATAAAATTTCCAGATTTAATTTCATGAGGAACGTGAAAACCTTGATTTTACGATATATGTAATATTTATGATATTTATGTAAAAAAAAACACGTGAAAAAAAAACTATAATTATAAATTCATTCAATTGAAAGTTTATTATTCGTAATTATTATCTCAATGAATAAAAATTCATTTGTATAATACTTTTGAGAAAATCGATCGATCATTCCTGCTTAATTGCTTGAATCAATGTAAATTGAACAATTATATGAATTATATATAAGTTTTTATCACCTTATTCCCAGAAATCCAAGATAATTAGCTAATATTTTATTCAATTGCAATATTTTCATATTATTTAAGCATCCATTTGACATAATAATTAAGTAAAATTAATTTTATAAACAATATTTTTTACTATGACAGAAAATTAATGCACAAAATCATTTTTCTTGACTTTATTTATGGCTTAACTCTACAAAAAACTTATAGATAATATCACAGGGTTATATTTAAGTATCACCTTGTATAAAATTTCCAGATTTAATTTCATTAGGAACGTGAAAACTTGATTTTACGATTTATGTAACATTTAAGTAAAAAAAGTTGAAGCTCAATTAATGGCATAAATATCTGTCAAATTATGAAAATATTTATATTTTTTAACAAAGAAAATGTTGAATTTTCTAATTCCACGAAAAAATTTCATTTATTTCCACTCTTTTGACCCGAAAAAATGAATTTATTCCATAAAAATTAAATAAAATTAAATTCATAGCAAAAAAAGGCGCGAGTCCCCTTGTGTGCCACTTCCCGCGCAGCGTCAAGGCAGGGCCCTGATTGGTCGAGCCGGAAATCTGAACCGAGTCGATGTCGTTGGGTGGCGTGCAAAAATCTTTCTCTTGCTCCCTGGACACCGAAGTAAGTATAGACGCATTTCCTCATATCTCTCGTCAAGATAAATTATTTCATAGATTTTTCATATTTTACGACGAAAAGAAGCTCATTATTCAAATTCCAGCCCTTTTATACACTTGCATCGACGGTTAAAATTTAATTTCCGTTCGAATTTCCGTATTCTTCAAAGATTTTTCGACTTCTACTATGTTTCAGTTTCACATTCTCACTCATTTCATGTTCAAAAATGATTAAATTTGAGCTGGCTCGTCGAGACCCCGCTGACATTACACATTAAGGCCCTGTTTCTATGGTAAAAGTTACCGATCACACCACTTTTTATACATCAAACACAAATTTTTTGGTCCTAGCGATCACATGACGTCACAAACCGGAAGTGCGCAGCCGCCTTCCGGTTCGAGCAATCGCGTCCCAATCGTAAGATTTTGTTTTATTTTTAATTAATTTTACGCGACTGACAGTCAAAATCATGTGTCATTTTCAGATGCAAATTTTCAAGATAAATCGAATTCTGTACTTACTTTTCCAAAAATTGGAAGTTAAATTAATTTATTTTGATAAAAACTGAAAAAATCCGGCTCATTTTTCATTCAAAGCGACCTGCTGCAAATTTTAACCGGAGAGCATGGATGTTTACATTTTTTTCCCGCTTCTCAATGAAATAAACTTTTGAACTGTCCATGTCAAAAGGCGGCTATCCAACCTTACGGGGTATAAATCGGCTCTCAAAGTATGCACTTCCGGTGACTTTTGTCAAAATCACGGTGGCAGCCCTTGCAGCGTTGCCAATCTTGGTTGCCAAGCAACCAGCAGGCAGTGGCCGGCCGGCAAAAACAATGGCGCCTGCCGCGACGAGTGTAAATCGTAAATAGTGCTGTTTATTTTTAATTTCATCAGTGAATTTGATCATTAACGAAATAAAGAGTGACCCTAAATCGTAAAAAATAGGTACTTACGCGAAATTTACTTCTATTTCTCGTGAACCAGAGTGAAAATTATGAATAAACTCGCTCTCAAGCCTCTCAACTTTGGCCTCGCTTCGGTTATCACCATTCAAAGTAAGTCGATTTACTTTTCTGAGGTCTGGAAATGCACTTTTCCAACGTAAAATTTAACGCAGAATCGCCTGGTCACATTAATTTTGCGATTTGGTCGGCCGCCGACTCGTACGCGGCCGAGACGTCACTTGCCACTGCCGCGTTTCATTTGGTGGGTCTTCGTCGGGGCCACCTTCGGACGAGAGCCGCTCGTTTCGATAGACTTTTGCGCGAATGCAGTATTTTTTTAGAACGCGTTAAAATAAATTATTCAAAGTTTCAGCATTGATAGATAATTAAGCCATGTATATTTTGATATGCTGGTTTTAAATAAATTTTGACTAGGAGCGAAGTTATTAACGTTTCCGCGAGACTTTTGTTTTTTTAATTTTAAAATTAGAAAAAAAATTTTAAACATAAAAACCCTAAAAGAAAAATGTTGCCAATTAAATTTCCTACAATTTCTTTCACAGGCTTGATAATGTCAAAATTTTTTTTACTTATGAACGGAAGGCTTAAAGTAAAAATATAATTTTTTAACATAGAAGAAAATTTTTTAGAATTTTTTTGAGATGGCCAATCGATTGGAAATTTAATTTTGACTAGGGTGAGTAAATTTCATCAAAAAATATTGAGCTGTTTTCAAGTTGCAGCTTCCTTTTTCATGAGCGCACTAATGCCGCCTTCGTCTTCAAAAGCGCTTAGAGGTGCCATCACATTTTAATTTCTTATTTTGAAACGGCGCATTATTTTTTGATGAAACATTCATTCTTAATTCAAAATTAAATTTCCAATCGATTGGCCATCTCAAAAAAATTCTAAAAAATTTTCTTCTATGTTAAAAAATTATATTTTGACTTTAAGCCTTCCGTTCATAAGTAAAAAAAATTTTGACATTATCAAGCCTGTGAAAGAAATTGTAGGAAATTTAATTGGAAACATTTTTCTTTTAGGGTTTTTATGTTTAAAATTTTTTTTCTAATTTTAAAATTAAAAAAACAAAAGTCTCGCGGAAACGTTAATAACTCCGCTCCTAGTCAAAATTTATTTAAAACCAGCATATCAAAATATACACGGCTTAATTATCTATCAATGCTGAAACTTTGAATAATTTAATTTAACGCGTTCTAAAAAAATACTGCATTCGCGCAAAAGTCTATCGAAACGAGCGGCTCTCGTCCGAAGGTGGCCCCGACGAAGACCCACCAAATGAAACGCGGCAGCGGCAAGTGACGTCTCGGCCGCGTACGAGTCGGCGGCCGACCTAATCGCAAAATTAATGTGACCAGGCGATTCTGCGTTAAATTTTACGTTGAAAGAGTGCATTTCCAGACCTCAGAAAAGTAAATCAAGGCACTCGATCTATCGGCAAACCTTGTCATACAATATTTCCGATTTTAATAAACTGCAAATTCGAGAATAAAAAGACGGGAAACGTTGTTTATCAAATCGAATGTCTAATTAAAAGCAGAATAATTTTAGTGTTATTTAATAAGTCAGTAAAAACCATCTTAGAGAATAATTAATGTTTTGAATTTTGCGAATTTTGATTAACAAAACATGTGATTGACGATGTGGCAAACCAGCAGCGCACAGAGCCACTCTCGCTCCGCTCGCGACGGTGGCGCCGCGTGGTGGCAAAACGCTCATAGAAACTGGGCCTTAATTGCTCTCAAATTTCGATTTCTGATTTTGGCCCTTTGGTTAAGTATTTTTTTTCTTCTAAAATTTGAATTGCCCAAATAATAAGTACTTTTAAACTTTTAATCCTCTTGCGAAAATTCTGTAAAATTAATATAAAAAATTTTTGCGATAAAAATCGTCTTCATATTTTAATTATCCTCTATCATTGCCTATATAATGTCTGGAGATTTCATTTTTCAACGCATTTTTATTCTAGACATTCCAGTCTCGCTTCACAAGTCTCAAGTTTCTCAATTTTTTACATCCATCGTGATTTCCAACTTTCCTCCCCCATGCACGCGTTGAGCTGTCGTCGCGTCTGCAAGCGCAAAAGCGACACAAGATTTAAGCGTCTGAACGTGTTCAAACACGATTTTCGGCCTTCCGCTGTTCCTTGACCGGCGATTGGTCGCTTTCAGCGCTTTTTGCCGCATAGCAACAATTTCCTCTTTCACGGGATTGGTCGATCGTCGCCAAACAGGATTTTACGAAAAATTGTGCGACCTGACAAACTTCGGACGAAATTGAGTTGCCAACTTGTTGCGTCATCATATCACACTCCAATTTTTCGCTTCCTCCTCCCGATTCATGTCTTTTCAATTTGTAGGTGGTAAAATATAAATTATTTCCAAATAATTTAAGATATTTTTAAAATGTTGCTTCATTCTTTTTACAAAACTATGGCACTAAAGAAACTTTGTCTCCTTAAAAAAAATATACCCAGGCCATAATGCTATTTTTTTTTCATGGATTTATCTCAAAATTGAACTGTTCGTTCCTGAAGATAAATAATTATGATCCAAGAAATTAATTTTTTTTACGAAGTACTTATGACTCTTTTGATTGAATTTTGCTAAATGTGAAATCTTTTGAAATTATATTTGAAGTTTAATCTCTACAAAATAAATTTTGGGATCGATGAACTTAGAAAATTTTACCATCGCATAATCGTAGTTCTTTTAAAGGAAGTTGCTTCTCATCTTTCCTTTTTAAGTTTTTATCCTTCCAATATGCTCCCTGCTAAAATCGACGAAGAGTGGTTTACTCACTGACAAACATTAATTATTCATTTTCATCTTATTTATCAAAATCTTAACCTATTCGTTATCATTGGAATGGGGACAAGTTTATTTCATTTTGCCGTGTAAAATTTTTCGCTATAGCGACTATAGCGTGCACAAAAAACTTTGCAATTGATTTAATTGTTCATGGTTTTGGTCGAAAATGGACGTTTCTTTTTGCAGATGATAAATTATGCTAAGCTTGTGCAAGAGCAATGAATTTAACAACATAATTCAAAAAATTTCAGCTCCGATCTTTTATTTAAATATTTCGAGCACAAATGTAATTCGAACGATGCAACCTGTTGGGCATAGATGCTCACCAGGTTGCATAAGTTAGTCTTTTTAGTGAAATTTTATTATGAAGTTGAAATAAACAGGAAAATTTTTCAAGGTTGGACCTTTTTGTGATTGCAATTACTAAAATTTTTGAAAAGAGATCTCAATCGCATGCGATCAAATGTAATCACCTTTTGATCAACTTTACTCTTTTAAAAATGGTCCTCACACATCTTGAGAGGGCAAATGACTGAGTGAGTTGTAAGTTTTTTTTATCTTATAAATGTTGGTTTTGAAACAATAGTTTAAATTTTACAGTTGGTAAAAATTTTTACAGGCATTATCTTGATTACCTAAAAAAATTCACTTTTATGCTCATAAAAAAAAAGAGATTGATAGAGCAATCGCAAATTTGCTGATTGATTCCACAACTTCTACTTTATCAAACTATAATAAGTTTCAACCAAGTTTTAAAAAAAAAAAAAAAAAATTTGATTTTAGGTTTTGAAAGGATTCTATTTCAATCATGGAACCAACCCGCCGTCCCATTGGCCGAGCTCGGGGCCGAAGCACCCGAGACATGTCTTCAGCCTCCTCTGACATCAGCAGCGTTGGGGGCCTCTCTTCCTTGGAGGCACCCCCTAATATGCCAGCGACTAGTTTTGGTCGCGTCCCTGGCGCCCCTTCAATGGCTCCTCCGCCACGCCCGAGGAGCCCATCTTCACTCTCCACTGTCTCAAGCCTTGCTACCAGTAGCAGCTTCCGCCCCTCGTCCGCCAGGGGCTCAGAGATGTCCGTCCTTAGGACTCGACCTGAAGCCATCACCAGCAAGAAAGGTATTTGAAATCAATCTGTTGTTGCTAATACTTAAAAAATTTAGTTTTTCTATTTATTGAATCTTTCTTTAATACACACTACTCGCATTTGCTTAAAAGGCTCTACTGGTCAGCCCATCAACCTGATGGCTAACTACTTCAAACTTTGCAAAGTGACCAACTGCACTTTGTACCAGTACCACGTTGACTTTACACCTGAGGAGGATAGGCCCAAAGTGAGGAAAGCCCTTTTGAGGAAGCATGCTGAAGAACTCGGTGGCCACCTCTTTGACGGCATGATCCTCTACTCTGCCAGGCAATACAAGAATGAAGTATATAAAATATTCAATATGTCGATCTCCTGCAGGATATTGAAAATAAAAAATTCCAGCCTTACCAGCTTCGCAGCACCAATGATGATGGATGTGAACTGATCATTACCATCAAATTGACCAGGATGGTTGAAAAGGGTCACCAAGAGTACATCCAGTTCTTCAATGTTCTGATGAGGAGGTGCCTCCAGCTGCTGAATCTGCAGCTTGTTGGCAGGAACTTTTTTGATCCTCATGCCAAGGTGAATAATTTTGAAAATTCGATTTTTTTTGCTGCATTCAATTTTAATTTTAAAAAGTGCTACATATAACTTTTAATACATAATTACAGGTTGTGATGGGCAACCACGGCATGGAGTTGTGGCCTGGCTACCAGACTTCCATCAGGGAGCACGAGCAAGATATTCTGATGTGCACTCGCATCACTCACAAGGTTATGAGGACTGACACCGTCCTTGACCTGATGGTGGAAACCCAGAAAAAGGGTGGAGACTGGCAGAAAAACTTCTGCGACAGCGCCCTTGGCTTGGTGGTCCTGACAGACTACAACAACAAAACGTACAGGATTGATGATGTTGATTTCAAAGTGTCCCCTAGATGCAAATTCTCTCTCAGAGAGAAGGGTGAGATCTCTTACGCCGAGTATTACACTCAGGTAGGTTTTGCACACGGCAGTTGATCCCATAAATATATTTAAAAAAATCCAAAATTCTCATCTAAAATTTTAGCGCTACGGCATCAATATCAGAGTGTTGGACCAGCCTCTCCTGATCACCAAGTCTAAAGCCAAGGAAATCAGAGCTGGGATGTCAGAGACGGTCTTCCTGATCCCTGAGTTGTGCCGTATCACTGGCCTCACTGACCAAATGCGCAGTAACTACAGGTTGATGAGTGCTCTTGCGGAGCACACAAGAGTGGGACCTTCAAAGAGAGTGGAAAAGATGATCCAGTTTGCCAGGCGTTTGATGGGAGAGGACAAGGTATATACATTTCTTAAATAAAAACAACAAAATCCTACGAAATTCTCCTTTTGTTAGATTGTGAAGGAGCTCTCAGACTGGAACATGCAGATCGAAGATAGCCTTGTGCAGTTTGAGGGCAGGGTGCTTCCGCAAGAGAACATCATTCAAGGACGAGAAGGCAGAGAACTGCGCTACCCTGCTGGCCCCACTGTTGATTGGACCAAGCAACTGAAAAGGACTGAGATGCGAGAGGCGCCCCACTTGACCAACTGGGTGGTTATGGTGCCCAGGAACATTGAAAGGGAGACCTGCAACTTTGTGAACGCAGTCATTGACGCAGCCAGACAAATGGGCTTCCAGATGGATATTCCGAAGCGCTGGGACATGAATGATGACCACCAGTCCACTTATGTGAACGAGCTTGAAGAAATGCTCTCCCAATGCGTGCCAAAACCCAGCTTGGTGCTTTGCGCTGTGTCGAACAACCGCGGTGACCGCTACAGTGCTATCAAGAAGAAGACCTTGGTCGACCGCCCTGTTCCAACCCAGGTGGTCACAGTGAAGGCCATGACCAACAAAAACCTTCAATCAATTGCCTGCAAAGTGGCAATCCAAATCAACTGCAAGGTTTGTGTTTATTCTCAATTTAAAAAAGAAAGCTAGAAATATGAATTTTTAAATATAATTCAATGCCGACGAGAGTATTAAACATTTTTTCTTGTTGAATTTTTAGGTTGGTGGTGCGCCTTGGGCCGTCGAGATGCCTATGCGTGGCACCATGTTTGTCGGCTTTGATGTCAGCCACGACACCATGAACAAGAGCATCTCATATGGCTGCATTGTGGCCTCTTTGAACAACAGCCTCAGCCGCTGGTACTCTGTGGTTTCAGCCCACAAGTCTTCTGAGGAAATGAGCAATGAGGTGTCTGTCAACCTGGTCAAGGCCCTAAGGAAGTACCAGGAAGTCAATGATGGCCACCTGCCCTCCAGGATCATCATCTACAGGGACGGTGTTGGTGATGGCCAGATCCCGTATGTCTGCAAGCATGAGATTTCCTTGATCAAGGAAAGGTTGACAGAGATGTATCGTGGCGATACCTGGAGGATGGGATTCATCATTGTGTCCAAGCGTATCAACACCAGGTTGTTCAGCTGCACTCGCCCAGGTGCCCCTCCAACAAACCCACCTGCTGGCACTGTGGTTGATGACTGCATCACCTTGCCTGAGAGGTGTGTATTAAATTCATACAACAATTAATATACATTCATTTTAAATTTCATACATCTAAAAAATGATAAGTTTCTTTCATTTCTAGTTTAAAGTTTAAATCATTGTAATTTTGTAGATACGACTTCTATGTCGTGAGCCAGCATGTGAATGAGGGCACTGTGTCACCAACCTCCTACCATGTCATCTCTGACAACACTGGACTTGACCCTGACAAGATGCAGCGACTGGCCTATAAAATGACCTACGTCTACTTCAACTGGAGTGTAAGTGTTACAATTGAAATGAATGGAATATTTCAACTATACTATAATAAAAAAAAATGTTTTTTTAGGGCACTGTGAAAGTCCCAGGCCCAGTGCAGTATGCCCACAAGCTGGCTGCAGTGACTGCCATGTACCTGCATCGTCTGCCAAGCCCTGAAATTGCTGACCTGCTGTACTTCCTTTGAAGATCTTTTTAAGTTTTTCTGCCTAGTGCTTATTGTATATTTCTTGATTCTCATTTTAATTTCTGACGCACTTCGGCTTTTTTCAAATAACAGTTTTTCTGCACTTTGTATGGAATTGGTGGCAAATAAAAAGTAACTAGAAAAGTTTGTTATTTCATTTTTTTTTAACAAGACCAAGCCAAAGGAGAAAAATATTTTGTTAATTATAGAATCAATATTGATTTTTGTTATTAAATTAATTTATTTTCATTTGTGCAAAATATATAGCTCAGATTTCGCTGATCTCTGGCTGATGCTGCATGTAATAACAAATTTTCAAGGGTAGTGCGATTCTAAATTTGGTTAAATTGTGAGAAATATAATCAAAAGATAAAAATCAAATGCTGATTGGGCCTGCTAATACAAACAAGCTCTTTATTGAATTTTTGTTGCACTGTATTTGGAAGAGAATTTAATAGTGTGCTCAGTTTTTTTTAACATCCAAAATTGCTTGGATATTTTTAAACAAACTTGCTTTTTTGATATTTGCCGGTGGGACTATGTTCAAATAATAAGAATAATATTCTTTACAATCAGAAATTTATGATTTTCAACAACAAATCTTTCTTTATCATGTTGTAAATAGCATTCCTCGGAATTCTTAGTTTCGTTCATTCACAAGTTCAAACTTAGCATTAAGCTTGAAAAAATTATCATCCTGAATTATACTAAAATAAACTCTAGAAAGGCACAAAGAAAATCTGCACTAAGCAAGTAGTTTTTTGGTTAGAATTTCAAACACCATTCTCCTCCTTAACAGCGGCATGTCATCCTGAGTAAAGAGGTATTTCCCCCGTCGAGAAGCAGCCTCCGCAAACATGCACGCAAACACACCACAATCATAACCATTGTGTTGCTGTGGAATATCCTAAAATTATAAAAAAAAATTAAAGTGAGTCTGTTTCTGTTGTTACATGATTTAAAATCACCTTTTCCTGCACAACCTTCCAAGACGATGTGTCATAGCGTGCTTTCTTCTTATCAAGACTTTCGTCTTCCAAATATTTTAGTAGCAACTAAAATTGTAAATTTGAATAAAAGTTAAGAATAGATTACATGCCATAATATATTCTACTTACTGTAAGAACAGCTGGATTTGAGGTAAGCATGCTATCAAAATAGTGGGCAGTTTTATTCTTCATGTCCAGAATTGACATACACCAGTGCACTCCAAGATGAATGGGAATCACAATGAGATCATGTGCAAAAATGTCCACCTGTGGCAAACAATTGAATAAATCAATAGAATAATTTGAATCTTGCTTGTGTCAAAAAATTAAAAACAAAACATGCCTTTTTGGTCCACCGTTTCAAAAGTTGATGGCCACTCTGACGCAGCTTTGGGTAGAAGAAAGTGTTGAAAGTGTGAACTTTGGGGTAGTTGTCGAGGTTTCCCCTCTCTCGAATGAGCTCCATGTAGAAATTGATCACCTTAAATTTGAGAAATTAATACATTATTTTAAATAAACTATCTAGCGTACTTCATCATTCAGCCAGTTCCGATCGGCAAGAGTGCTGATGTCTTTGCGAGTAATGTCAGTATTGAACCCAGACACCAGCACTTCTTGCGGAGGTCTAGGAAACAAAGCTCTGTCCACGATTTCCTGAAAATCCGTTTTGAATGAGTAATGAGAAAATAACTATTTCTTTAATGTACATTAGCCTCGTCTGGCAACTCTGGCAGCTGCTCTTCTTCCTCGAGAAATTCTTCCTCCTTTTCAGTATCAAACAGGGCCAAACGAGCAATGCACTTTGAAACGTATTGTGCCTCAAACGCGTTCTTGCTGTGTCCTTCAGCTAGCTCATTCTCTTTCTTGGCCTCTTCAAGTTCTTTGGTAAGTACTTGCTTCTGTTTGCTATAGACAATTTGGCTAGAGACAAAAACGCATAGAGCAAAATCTTTAAAAATCAAGATTAAAAACTAACATATCTTCAGCAAATCCTTCCCTCATGCTGCTTTTTCCCTTTAGATATTGTGCATAAGTATTTTTGACCGCAGGAGGAGTCTTCAGCACTTTGATGTCGCTGTCTAGAGTGATCAAGTCCGGTACCTTTGCTTTGGTTAAAGGGACTAAAAAAAAGTTAAAAAACTGGAAATTCGATGCTAAAAAGGACTCACCAATGTTCAGTTTCTTTATGTCTCTCGGCTTGACGTCCAGATACTTCTTGTATTCTTTTTCATCGAGAGTCAGGTCAATCAGTGGAACTTTCTTGGGCTTGACTTGATCCTTCATGACAAATGGCCTGCTGCAGTATTATTTTCGTTATTTTTTTTTCTTTTTTCCCAGTACCTGAACATTACCTGAACGTAGGATTCGACGCAGTTTCCAAGATCAGTTTCCTATAGTCCAGAACCTCTTGATGATTGTAGCCATTGGAGAGATTAGTTGGTCGGATGCACTGACGAATTATTGAAGATTGCACATTTATCCGTTGACTGTGGTCGCTCCTCTTAGGAGTGCTAGAAAACGGATTCTTAGGATAATGGAGAACGCGGGTCTTCCTCCGAATATTAGGGTTTGTCCAGCTTTCTTCATTGTACGAAAAATAAATATTTGATTAAATTTTTCGCACTCACAAACTTTTCTTACTGTTTGAACCCATGGTGAAGCGTTGCTTGTATGTTTCAGTAATCTGTTGATCATGAGTCTGCTTGGTCCCCAGGGGTATTCTGGATAACCCTGGATGAAGTTTGCTCGTAATAGCGCTTCCAGCTGGGTTTGGTAAAATGCGAACCTATTGTGTTTATAATGGAATTTGAATTCTGATAAAATAAAAATAGGCCTTACCTCAGCCTCAGTATTCTCAGGTTCAGAGGGTTTTTTGTTAAACATTGTGAACGTCGGAATTTTGGATGTGGAGGGAATCTGATCGGAAATTGCTGGGACAAAATGAAAAAAAATATTTTTACAATACTCAATAAGAAAATCTTATTGTTTACCATTAGCATTTCCAGAACCTGAGCTGCCAGCAATGCCAGCATCAAGTTTTGACATCTTCGGAACTTGGTAATTGTAGTGTGGCAAACCTAGATCCTCTTCATTGTTTGGATACCTAAATTAAAGTCAAAATTTTATATTATTCAAGTCGTGTATTCAAGAAAGCATCATTTATATCACTTTGCAACTACACAATAAACAGTTAAATATTAATGGTATTTTGAGTTTAAAATAAATGAACGTATGTATTTACATAATAAATAATGTGTGTCATCAATACAAATTATTTATGTAGCCCTCTCGACAAAGCATTCAAATTATTACCCAGAAAAGTCGCTGCTGAGAAAACTGGCCGCTCTCTTCATAGAATATTTTGCCTTATTTGGCATGATAGGTGCTAAGTATTTCTGCTAAAAATGTTCTAGGAGGGCCTTCACACATTCCTACCTTCTTTTTCGATTGCGTTCTTTGTTTGGACTAAAAAATTCAACGATTCTTCCAACTACGCTGCGAACGCCCTGGATCATTTTCAATCCCGCAAGGTCAGTGGATTTTTTACAGGTATCGGTGAAGTGTCAGAGAGAAGCAATAAAAACGGTAGAAAATCCGACTGTGTGCACAATTTTGCTGTTTTTCATTGCAAAGCGAGGTGAGTTGAGAACAAACGTCGCAATCGGTCGCAATGGTAATGGTTGCTGGTTGCTGTTGTCGCATTGCTACCAGCCTTCGAGAATCGCCCCTGAATAAATTGCAAATTTTTTGAATGGTATATTTTATTTTTTTTATATTCCCTCGTAAATTTGTAATAAATTAAATATTGTGAAAAATTTTGCTTTACATCGTTGGGGGGGGGGGGTAACTTTAATGTTATTTAACTGTAATCAAGTTTCTCATGTTTGTAGCTCGTATTAAATTAATTAGAGACCCGCCCAAAATTCTGCCTATCCTACCCCGCCCACCCAACTTTATCACAACAAAAGAACAAAGCAGATCATCAGAAGACAAGACAAAGGGATTCCATGGAAGCAAAATTATAAGTTAATGATCCAATAAATCAATGAACTAAGCTTAATTAAAAATACACAATAAATCAAGAGCTTTGCGTAACACAAAATGCCTGGTAAGTTTTAAAATGTAACCCTTACTGCAATACATAATATACATACGCATGTCACAATGATTGGATTGAATTGAGATTGAATTTACAACTTTATTCTATTTTTCTACATAATATGAAAAAATTTATTTAATTAATTTTTTAATGTAAGAATAAAAAATTGTGAAAGGTTATTTTTTTAAATTATTAAATAAAATTCAATTAAATGAAAAAATGAATACTTATTAGCTTTGCTTCTCCTTGCAGATCTTACTTTCTTGAACCACAATGTCCGTATCAATGAAAGCTGCATCAAACTGCGGTCGTCTGAGCTACAGACCTTCAAACTGGAGGGCGAACCTCTGGCTGCATGGCTTTTGCGAGCAGTGACATTCATTGACTTGACAACTTTAGGAGGTTTTCGTCAAATTCCTACAGACATTTTTCAACTTCAATTGTTCATTGTAGGTGATGATTGTGAATCGAATGTGGCTCGACTCTGCCGAAAAGCAAAAAATCCCATAGGCAGTGATATTCTTCAGCTTCTGCTTGGTCCCAAAAACCAGAGAAAAATCACTACAGCAGCTGTTTGCGTCTACCCTGCAATGGTACCTTATGCAAAGAAGAATATTGATGTGATCGGTGCAAACCTCCCTATTGCTTCAGGTGATTCTCTTCATAATAAAAGAACTATTCAAATTTTTGCTTTAGTTGCTGCTGGTTTTCCAAGTGGTTTGTTTCCTTTGGAAACTCGTCTAAGAGAAATCCAGCTGGCAGTGGAGGCCGGCGCAACCGAGATTGATATTGTTGTTGAACGGCATCTTGTGATCAACCAAAACTGGGCTCGTAAGGATTTTTTCCGGGATTAACTAAATAAAAAATTTTAATCTAGAACTGTACAATGACACTGCTGACATGAAGAAGGTGTGTGGAAAAGCCCACATGAAGTCGATTCTTGCTGTTGGTGAGCTCGGAAGTTTGGAAAATATTTACAACGCCTCTATGGTCACCATGTTTGCCGGCTCGGACTTCATAAAAACCTCAACGGGTAGATTTTGATATTTTTTGTTAACCGGCTTAAAGTCATTGTTTTAATATAGGAAAAGAAGCTGTCAACGCTACATTGCCATCTGGTTTGGTAATGTGTAGAGCCATCAGGGATTATTACGCATTGACTGGACGAAAGGCAAATATTTCAAATATTGAGATGAAAACTTATCCTAATGTCTTAATAACATTAGGTCGGACTAAAGCCTGCTGGTGGTCTACGCACGGCTCAAGACGCTGTCGTTTGGATGAACATGATTAAAGAAGAGCTCGGTTTGGATTGGTTGAATCCCAGCCTCTTTCGAATTGGTGCCTCTGGCCTTCTTGGAAACATTGAGCGAACCTTACTGGAGCTAGCAACTGGCCAAAAAGAGCCATCATTCATTCCAATTCCAGCTATGTGATTTGATTTTTTTTTCGTTAACAGATATTTTTGTGCCATACTAAGTTTTACTGACAATTTTCATTTCATGGGACCAATATTATATTTTAAAACCAGTGTTGAAGATAACTAAAAGATATATATTTTATCCATTCTACTAGTTTGTTTTATTGCGTGGACATAATGACAAAACATTTTAAGTCGTGAAATTATAATTTACATCAAAGGCTAAGACCTGCAATCTTGCTTGCTAAAACTACGAAGCAACAATAATTTGGCCGTAAGTATTTTGATTTAAGTAATCAAAACAAATATTGCTAGAATAATTTTTTTCAACCTCTCTGTGAAAGTTTGAATATTAAAAATTTTTCTTCCGTACAATCATAACTTTGAACGTCTCACATTAATATTTATTGGTTTAGAAGTTCTTATCATGACTTGGGACCTGTTTCGAGTTTTCATTTGAACTGGAGTGGCAACATCAAACAAATAGGTTTCAATAGCAATGAGATTGACATTACTTTCTTAAAGACTAGCTTTAGTGCTTGCAAATTTAATTTCACAACAGCGCTCATCAATTAAGTATCCCAATTAATTGAAACATCTTATCTCATTTCTTTTAAAAAGTTAGATGTTTTAAATTTTTGGGGTGTATCTTCTTTTCAACAGCAAAAAAGTGAAACCAAGCACTTTTTGTGTGTCACACCATCCATTTTACACAACGGTAATATAATAATTATATCTTTGTGTGTATTGAATAAACATTATTTCATTTAGGAGCTCAGCTAGGATAACACAATTTGACGTAAATATATAATGATCATGAAGTACTCACAAAGGCAAAATTGTATATAGGTGTAACAGCATGTAGAATATTGTGGTTATATTTTGTTAAATTGAGGTTGCCAGACCCAAACAGCAAATCAATAGTCAGTGCAAGTTGGCGGCTTTGCAAAATATATAATAGACTTGTGTAGAAAGAACTTCACAAGCATGGTGAGAGGTACTGTGACATTTTTTGGTTTTGGCTGGATATATATTTCGGTGCACAAAATGTGTGTGGAGCATTTTCGGCAACAAAATCTTTAAAGACAGTGTAAAAGGAATTTAATCCAATTGCGATTGGCATGGAATGGTTTGCTTTAAACATCAAGTAACACCAACATGCATCACAATATCAAGTTAAAGAGAGGTTGTTTCTAATTATTTGGCAAGTGAGATTGGCTTACAAATTTAAGTTACAATTGATTGATTTTTCACGAAACTGTCAAATTGAGATCAGAAAACAGAAAAGAAAGAAAACCAAGATTTGAATTATTGGTGGAAGAAACCTGATGAGCTTGCAGTCATTTTTGCTTATGAGTTAAAACAGGAAAATTCAACAGATTTTTGTTTCATTTTTACCCTCAATATTATTTGAAAAATCAACATATTATAAAAGATCACACTCAGAATTATGCATTTTAGAAAACAAAGCAAAATAGGAGCAACACAAGCAACTTCCAAAATATTCTGTAAAATGCAAGTTCCTAAAAATAGTGATGGAGGAAGTTTAGTTGCCGAGAGACAAAATTCCCCTGTTCTCCAAGGCCTCTTTCAGAGTGTAGAACATCTGCAACTGCTGTTCTGGCTTCATTGTAAGCACCTTAATGCATTTGAAATTAATTATTTGTTATTTTAATTGGGCATCGACTTACTTGCTGGAGCAACTTTTGTGGAGAGGTCGTCATAATGAAACTCGATATATACACATTCACGAAAGTAGCCATCAAATATTGACAGTCAAATCTGTCCATAATGCCACCGTGTCCTGGAATTATGTCGCCAAAGTCCTAAAAATGATAAATATTAAGAAATTTTGCAAATTAGAGCAGTACTAAAATGACTCACTTTGATCTTAAATGCTCTCTTAAATCCACTGGCAAAGAATCCTCCAAAAGGCCCAATAACACTGCTGAAGAATGACAGGGACAAGGAGTGCAGCAAGAATGGATAAATATTCCAAGTTTTTCCAAGCTGAAAAAGGAATGTCAAATTTGATCGGCTTATATTATAGACGCAATCTTACGATGACGTATTCCTGTGCCCTAAACAGAGGAGACGGTTCACACTCCATGGTTGTGCTGCCCAGAGCTTCACTGTACGTAATTGGGCACACAAAGAATGGGTATTGGCAGAGTACATAAGACAGCTGCAAAAGCACTTGATGAGAAAAGGCCAAAAGTAACTGAAAAAGTTACCCCAAGACCAAACACCACAGTTGCTAGTCCTCCACCGATAAATCCCTCCCATGTCTTCTTGGGAGAGAGCTGGATGAGAGGTGTTCTGCCAAAGAAGAACCCAAACATGTAGGCCATAACGTCATTGCAGACAATCATCGAAACGGGCACAATGAACCTGAGGATTTAATTTGATTAAATTATACAAAAAATTTATACTGATGGTGAATGTTGTACCATATGAGTCCGTTGAAAATGTTCTGGATGATGAGATAGCTCTGTGTAACAACTATGAGAAGGGCCACATGTGTCCAAGCAAACAGCGAGAACTGTTTCATGTAATACTTCTTGACCAGAGACAACACGAACCAAACAAAACCTCCAATGTACAAGCAGAACGAGAAGAACCGGTGGTAGGTGACCAGAACTTTGAAGAAGTGCTGAAAGAAAACAAAAGTTGAACGCTTGGAAAAATAATTTCAGGATTAGAGCGTACTTCAGGAGTTTTTTTGAATATACTAAATTAATTATACATACACTCTGAAATTATTTACGACTCATAAGCCACTTCTGTAAAACGACATTAAAACAGTAGAGGTCCAAAATAAAAATTACATAACTTCAACATAAATCTAATACTAAACTGTCCTCTAAGCTAAACTACAAGCAAGTTAATTAGATTAATTAGTAACTATATCGTTCCTTACCATTGAAGACTTGCCATTGAAAGGTAAAATAATTTTGTTCAAATTAAAAAAATTAACCATGCAGTTTAGATTAGGTAATCAATCTGATGCAGTCACCAGAGTAAGTTTGAATTACTTCAGACACTCACAGTTTTGTTGATGGCCATGTCAAAGTAATCGACCAGGCTCTCCCCGTAGAAGAAATAATTAGAACAGAGAAGGAAGTACCAGGACAATGATCGGAACCATGGAAGTCCGTGAATGCGGTAAACCGAGTACCCAATGTTGATGATTTCTGCAAAGCACTTCACTTGGACCACTAACGTCTAAACGAGATAATTTAATTTATAGTAATTCTTAGTCGATCCAAATGTATAAATACCGTGATCATCAGGGCATAAGGTCCAAGGTAAATGAGGAAACAGAATCCAAAAATCATTAGCCAAGTGAAAATTCCTCGAATAACCCAGTTTCTCCATCTGTTGAACATGAGCATAGTTGTAAAAAGTTTTAATATAATTTTATTAATTATATGCCTGGGTGAGAGATTCTGTAGTGCACTGTCAAGTGCTTCGGCCGTTTTGTCGGATCCTTGCGGAATCGTCTTGGCCAGATCGTCGATCTTTTCGTCCAAGCCCTTGTCATCTTCGGAATCGATATCCTCTTTCTATGGAAAAATAAAATATCAGATATGAATATGAATTGATGAAAGGAAAAGAATGAAAAGCAGTGTTATTGTGTATACATAAAAAGAAACACTTGTTACAATCAAAATTGTCACAATCTGGTAAACAGTTTCTTAATTTTATCACATTAAATAATGAAAAAATTCAAATCCACTGCACTGGCAATTACACTAAAAATGTTCTTATATTGCTCAATGAATCATCAAATTGGGTCTTTCACAGATCATTAATATTTTAACAGAAATCTGAATTGCCTCTGGTCTTTTTTGCTAGCTTTTATCAGTAAATCAGGTGTTCAGATTTGACCATTCGGAGCACCGCTTTTATCTATGTACAAATTATTTATAGCTGTAAATAACTCGTTTTAGATCAAATGCAACACGACAACCAATTTTGATGTTATATAAAGATCAAAGTTTATTATCAAACCAAATATTTGATGACATAATTAAGTTAAAAATAATATAAATACCCCAAATAAATATAAAATTGGAGCTTTTGCCTTTCGCACAATCAAAAGAGAGGGCACAGAGGACGATAAGAAACTTTATCTAAATAATAATAATTACAAATTTAATATATGCAAATAATTATGACAAGACACTTCAATTGAAAAATTAGCATATAGCTGCGTGAGCTGCGCAAAAACGGCAACGTCGTCTGTTTGCGACTTTGAGCACCGTTTGCAGGAAGTAAATAAACGTATTTTAAAAAAGTTAAAAACAAACCTGACTGTTTTCGGCTGAGGCCGTCTTGTCGTCGACCGGCGAAACTTCGCCACTTTCGGCGGGCTTCCTCTGCCTGATGTCTGACATTTCGGTGCTTATTCGCGGGTGATCAATATAATATCACTGAAGCACCTCTCGGCAACGGGGTACGTCGTCGTCAGACGCACGGTGGTCGGTGATCAGCTAGAACATGTCCCGCTGCGGCTGTCCGGGCAGAGCGTCCAGCTTAGGATGACGTCGTCGAGTGCAGCACTAGAGACGACCGACTGGAGGCCTCGATTAGTGAAGAAGTTCGTCCTGCCTGCCAACCACAAAGCAACCCCTTAAGGTGTCCGAGCTGGGCACGGCGCATGTGTAAAGTGCCGAGTAAAAATAAAAACCGCAAGCGAGCGGTGCGGCGGAAGAAGCCTTTGCGCGTCGCCGAATTAAGGCCGAAGTGGCCAACCTTGATCTATTGATTGCAGACGACCACTTCTGCAAATCCAGTGTCCGAGATTGTGTTTCTCTGGTGCCAATTCACGGCGATTCCCAACCTGTAAACACGTCCAGCTGATCTCTCTGGAAAGGGGGAGTGGAGGGGGAAGAATCAGGGCCCGGGTGTATCGACTGGCGGCAAAGCGCATGCCGCGACCGCCGTTCTCCAATAATATGGTTCTCCGCTAACTTTCTATCAAACTATCGCGGACAGCCACTCACCATCTGGACCAGCTAGCGTTCAATGAAAATAAAACGGCGCCCCAGTTCGTTTCCTTTGATCAAGCGAAGATGTTGATCCGCGCTGCTTTTGCTTTGCTCCTTTTCCACTCGGCGAACTCGTCTTATCCCGACTCCAATGTCACATGTCCGAGAAATGTGAGTGTGACTGGACTTATTCTGGCAAGAGGAGGAAGCAAGGGGATCCCACTGAAAAACTTGGCTACCATTAATGGAAAATCTCTCCTGGGAATATCTTTAGAAAAGATGAAAAATTGCCAAAGTATAAAAAATATAAAATAAAAATTAAATTTTACAATATTTATTTTAAAATAAATTTTATTGACTTTTAGAGTTTGCTGAAATTTGGGTTTCCACTGATAACAGTTTGATTGCTAATGAGGCTGAAAAATTTGGAGCAAAAGTACATTGGAGGTCGGAAGCGTCAGCCACAGATACGGCGTCTTCACTGCTTGCCTTACAAGACTTTATCAGAGGACACGGAGGTGCGGTGACGGAGTATTATTTTTAAAAATACACTTTTTAGTCGACCAACAAAATAAACACCGTCGTATGCATATAATTATATAACAGAAATCCTAAAGTAAACCATTTGCAACTAAAACCGCTTTTCCCTGCTCTAGAAATTGAAAGGCTTCGGTTGCTTCCAAAAGCTATGCATAATCTATTTTTATATAACGTGTTATAAAAGAATAATAATAAAAATGTAACCTTTTTAAATAAAATAATATAAATTGTTAATTGTGACACTAAACAAACGCTTTTTCAGCAGAAGTTGATAGAATTGGACTAATTCAATGCACTTCGCCCTTTCTGAAAGAGAAATACTTAAATGAAGCCTTTGAACGATTACAACATGGTTACGACTCTGTTTTTTCAATTACGAGAGAGTACAAATTGAGGTGGAAGGAAAATACCAAAGGTTAATTATTTATTTTTTCTTTCTATCTTTTCAAATTTTTAATTATTTTAATTATATAGATCAAACTGTTGACCCTGTGAATTTTGATCCGGCACAGCGACCACGGCGACAAGACTGGTCGGGGGAGCTGGTAGAAAATGGAATGTTTTATTTCACACGGAGCGATTTGGTGTCACAGGGCCTCATTCAAGGCGGACGGTACATAATATTTACCTGTGCCAAATATAAGCGAACGTGTGAAGATTGTCAAAATTTACAGAATGGGAGTGGTTGAAGTTAATAAGAGAGATAGCTTGGAAATCGACAACCCAGCAGACCTTAATCTAGCTCGTTATCTCTTCGGTGAATGAAAGTAATAGGATTGGAGCTGTTATTGAGGCGGAGAGAGATAATTTTTTCATCAGAAGGGGACTCTCAGTGGGAGTAATTCACCAACATGGCAGCTGCGACAAGTAGGTTTGGCCTGTGCTGCTTGATTTAATTATTTAAAAAATTCAATGAAGTTTAAAAATCAAATTTAATTGATTTCAAATGCGTATTTTTTAAATAGCAGATGGAAATATCAGCACTCAAAATTCCAATGGAGAGAAAATGGTAAAAGAAGGTGCAAAAGATTATCTGACTGGACTCAGCTATACAAAATTATTTGAATATGACTCGATTGAAATTGATTTAGCGCCTGAAAAGAAAGGCATTTTCAACACCTATCAAGAATATTTTGTCAAAAGCAAGGTAAAATAAATATAATTTAGAATAATACAAAAATTGTTTTAATTATTTCAAAGAGACTGGCATCCTGTGTCGAAAGGAGATATACAGATTTTGTTTCATTCCATGAAATTTTGATAGCCACCTACCCATACAGACTAGTACCAAAACTTCCTCCAAAGAAAATGATGGGAGGTAAAATAATTGATATTTTACATCGGATATTTAAATTTTTTTCTTACTTAATTAGTGGATGTAAAATTTATCGAGGAGAGGCGCAGAGCATTACGGCGGTGGCTGACTTTGGTGTCCCAGCACCCGGTGCTAAGTGAAGATCCAACCACAAGATTTTTCTTAACATTCACAGGGCCCAAAGTGCACAGCAAGATTCTAGAAGTTTACAAACGAATGCCCGATGAGTTTACGACTTCCTTTGACGCGTCAAAATCAAAAGTTGGCAATTCGGTGGCTTTTTGTGCTAATTTAATTTATCTTTTTTATGCAGGAACTTGTTGAATCAGTCAGCCCTTCACTTATTGCAAGCAGCCGCAGTCAGATCCAAGTAATTTTTGCTGGAGTATCTCAACTGAGGACAGTTGCTGAGAGAATCGCTCAAAGATCCCAAGAGTAATTAATGAAATTTATTTAAAATTAAAATTTAATATCATTTTTGTTTCCAAAGTTATGCTTTGGATGTGGCAGAAATCGGAATTCAAATGTTGAAAATGGCAAACGACCCTCAGAGTGCTTCTGAATGGGCTGCAAGCGGTAGTAACGTTTGGGAAGAGACAAAAGTTGGCTTCAAAGCAATTGCGAAGTAATTTTAATTATTTATTAAAATTAATTTAAATTGAAATCAAAATTAAATTATTAGTGACTTTTCCGACTTATACACACAGGCGAATAATCAGGCCATGGTGCAACAGGAGGAAGTGTGTGAAAAATTGAACTTGCTCCTAGATTTGCTAACAGCGCACCAAATGTTGTGCGAGCGACACGAAAAGGGTGTTGCTCAAGATCACCAACGCGCCCTGGACAAAATGCTGGCATTCAAAAAGGCCAAAATTCAAAAGTCAATCAGCGGAAGTGAAGTAAAAGAATTTAATTTAAATTTTACAAATTCAACTTTAGGATTTGTATTTAATTTTAGGGTGAAACGCTTGATCAGCTAGAAGCTCGAATGATGGAGCAAGAAAGCGTGATTGCGGACATAGAAATGCGAAGTGCCTATTCCTTGCATTGTATGAAATTGGAAACGCAGCTGGTGCACACTTATTTAGGGATTGTGACGGAAATTATGAGCTCGCTCATATCTGTCCAAGTTATTGGACACAGTGAGGTGAGACCAGAGTATGATTTTTTGAAATTAACAGCATAATTCCCACAGATGGCAAAAGTTTGGAAGACGATGCAGACCAAATCTTCTGAAAATTTACCCGATATCTAGACCAGCCGGGAGTGAAATCGACAGACTTATTTGAATGATATGTTACGTTGCATAAAGTATTAAATATCTATTTTTGTTCATAATCAACAACACAGGACTTACGCAGTTTCTCCCTCTTTGCATTTGTTAAAAAAAAAAAACAATTTTTCTAAAAACATAAAGATTGATTTGGTTTACAATTACGCGATATTTTTACGGATAAGCTTGATTTAGTAACTTAAAATCAAAAATTATGTTTTGGTTCAGGAATAATTGTTATATTTTCTTAAATTATTTTTATATATACTAGAATTATTTCATATATCTTGAATTTAACAAAAAATAAAAATACGCTTCAGAGATACAGTTAAAATATCACCTTTCACAATTCAAGACGCAGCAATTTGCTTCAGTGGACTATCCAGATATTCCGCAATCGCCTCAGCCTTGGCCTTCAGGAGACCAAACGGGACAGTGTTCTTAGCATACAAACAGAGCAGGAGGTTGGCCACTTGAGTAATTGCAACTTTGCCATCCTAAAATATAAAGAAAAGGGTTATTTAGAAAAATTTCGAATCGGTATACCATTCAATAAGATATTGCAATTTTTGCAATTTTGGCTTTAAAAATTACCATGCACTCCATCATGACCAATTGAAGGGGATCCTCTAGGAAGGCCGATTTTCCATTTTTCTCATAAGCCGACCAAACGTTGCTGGCGATGGCTGCTGTCACCCTGGCATTTTTGTCTCCATAGCCGCTGTAGGCCAGAAGCGCACCTTCATGGTTCAGCAGCCTGAAAACAGAAGCAGAGGGTAGAAAAATTGTGGATTTTTTTTACATCACATGACAAGAACAAAATTGGCTGAACTTACAAGGTATTTTCTACACCTCCAGTATTCGCCTGGCTGAGAACTTGGGTCAGGGCTTTAGGTTTGAGCATGACGATGGAGTTTTTAATTATTCAATAACAACTCAAAAATTTTAATCGATTTACACCTTTTCAAGTAAATTCAATTCAAAATTCAAAGCCAATCTCTCTCTCTGCTTTCAACTCAAGTCAGAAGTCAACGCAAAACAAGATCACGTGATGCCACGCCCCCTCCAAAACGTAAACAAACCTTTCGTGTGGTTTTTCTCCGCCTGGATTGTGACTTGAATTGAATTAACAACAAGAACACTAGAGAAACTGTTATCGTCCCAAATTGAGGTCAGACTTCTAAATTACACTTGAAGGAATATCGAACCGTGCTAGAGCTCCAGGGTGGGTCCGAATATCAGAGAAACGATTCTAGAAACGATTCTTGAGAAACGTTTCTCGAGAAATGATTCTGGAGAAACGTTTCTCGAGAAACGTTTCTCGAGAAATGATTCTAGAGAAACGTTTCTTGAGAAAAGATTCTCGCGCAAAGATTCTCCAGGATCGTTTCTGCCTTTATAATTCAACTAAAGAATCGATCCTTGAGAATCCTTGCGCGAGAATCTTTTCTCGAGAAACGTTTCTCTAGAATCATTTCTCGAGAAACGTTTCTCCAGAATCATTTCTCGAGAAACGTTTCTCAAGAATCGTTTCTAGAATCGTTTCTCTGATATTCGGACCCACCCCCAGTCTTATTTTGCGGTGACACGCTAGAGACGATCGAGAACCATGGCTTTTTGCATGCGAGGCGTCAACCCTGAGCACTACAGGGACCATTTCAAGTCAGGTAAAATTTTCAAAACTTGATTTGTACATAATCCGGCTAAATTAATTCTGTTTTGAATTTGATAGGCGTTTACGTCTGTGCTGAATGCGGAAATGAGTTGTTTTCGAGTTTGTCCAAGTACGAGCACCACACTCCCTGGCCCGCTTTCACCGACACTGTCAGGGAAGACTCTGTGTCCAAAACACCAGAGCCGGGGAGGCCCAAAGCAATTAAGGTATTATTATACGTTCAAGATTAGTTTTCATTCTGTAATTAAATTAATATTAATTAACAAAGGTTTGCTGCGGCAAGTGCGGTGCCGGTCTTGGTCACGAGTTTTTGGAGGATCGAGACGACGGGGGGTCGAGATTCTGAATATACAGTGCCTCCTTGAAATTTGTGTCGAACAAAGAAGGTAAAAAATCATTATTTAAATTATTATTTAACACATTATTCATTTTTTCAGGTTCGGCAAAGGATGGAAAGGAGGAGAAAAAATAATTAGGCTGGCCGTTGGGATTTAAGTCAAAATAAACAATAGCTTTACTCGAATAAGGGGTGAGATTTTTGTCTTGGGGCGCAGATTGCCTCACGTATGAAGCTGTCTTTCGAAGCTTCACCAAGCATTGAGATGGCTGAGGTTTGAGGGAAACTCGTCAAAGGCCAAAAACACCCAAAATAAGATAATTAATATAAGCTAAAAGAAATGTTCACCAATCTAAAGCAAACAATTTTTTCTTGTAATATTATGCTCAAATATCAATTGATTTTAATTTTTTTCCTTTATCTATCATGATTATTGATTGATCTTAAAACCTTATCAATTTATAAAACACAATTTAGGTGAAGGGTGCTGTATTTTTTCCAAAGATAAAAATTGTATTTTTACTGCGTATGTTACAAGCACGCTCATGGTATTATACGAATCACTCATTTATTTTTAAGCCAGATTGAAATAAATGATTTTAATTGATATAAAAATCCACGTATCTTCTTCAAACTTGACCTCCTTTACCTTTTTGTAGTTTATTTAATAATTTACCAAATATTTATTGTTAGAAATTATTTTTTATACATATATCCAAAAAATTATTTCCTTATCTATACGAACTCCTTGTATACCGTTGTATACAAAAGTCAATTAGTAAAAAAAAAATTAAATAGTAAAACAATGAAAAAAGCAGCCACAGTTTTGAGTTCCATCTTTTGCCGGCAGAGGGCCGAAGACGTCGAGAGCCAGCCGAAATCTGCCGAAGGGGAAGGGAGGGTCGTCGACGAAGTTGTAAACATGGAGGACTCCTGCGATTAAAAGTCCTGAGCTCGATTTGTTTTGAGCAAACGGGACGATTCCTGAATGCGGGGCTCCTCCAAAAACAGCCTATTTTGCTTTTGGATCGTTTATCCGTCTTCTGGGGTTGCATTTGTCTCCCTCTGAACTCTGCATTCAATTTTGAGGTAAGTTCAAGTTCATCTTTCTATGTATTCAGCGCAATCCTCCATGCGAATCGTTTGTGCAAAAATCACCTGATGGCAGATTGCGGTAATTATTGCACAGTCAAAATTAATTTTTTTTAATTTTTTTCCGAGCATGTAGAAGCAATTTAGTAAATTAAAGTTGAAAAACGTTTATAAATTGAGTGAAGGATTTTAAAATTTTGACCCTTAATCATACGGAGAAGTAATCGCCATTGAAAGTGATTGAAAGAAAGCAATGCATAAATCGTTTATTCTAAAGGATAAATTTGGGTAAAACTAATAAATTTACCAAATTTACACATCTTGATGCAATATAATAACGAATTATTATCAATTTCCTTTTACAATTTCATGGATTTTTTTATTAACTTTTTATTTATCATCATAAATAACAAAAAACAAAAAAATTTCAATTGCATTCCATCAATCTTGTATATAATGTATTAAATACTTTTGTAAGTAAACGGTTTGTTAGGTAGATAACTAGTGAATTGTAAAATAGTTCAGTTTTCAAGAAAGTATGTAATAAAAAAACCACTGGTGTTCTTTGCTGCAAAATAAATTTTAGACAAATGCATACAATAAATTTAACTAATTTCTAATGAATCAAAGAAAAAAAAAAGATATTTTAGGGAACTGGACGTTATAATTTAAAATTTTTAAAATTACAATTTTGGTTCAATTGAAATATTTATTATTTTATAAAATGCATTCCAAAGCAATGAACAATACCAAAGAAAATCATCAGCAAGTCTTAAACTTCATCGATGGAAAACTATGACTTAAAAAAATGAAATATAATAAATTATTAATTTAATTTCAATTTGAAACAAAAAAATTTTAAAATTTTCCTTTTTTTTGTATAAATTTATAACAGTTTTGGCGAAATTTACGAATTATTTTATTTCATTAGAAGAAAATATACTGCCTTTGCAAATTTCCGCCTGTCGAGGTCCATATCACACCAAATCAACAAATATAAATGATAAATTGTTGCGTGCAAGTGAAGCAATCGATCCGCTCGTTGTTGTTTTTTCCTGCACACGAAATGCTTGGTACAGGTGCGGATTTTCAGACACAAAATCTGTTCGCACATTTTTTTCAACGAAAGCAAAACTGCATTTGTAGCCTTGACCGCGGCAGCTGCATCCTGGGCAAGTCTATTTTTGCATCCCTCGCTGCGTTCGTTCTCCACTGGGCTTGACCCAGATTGTGGGGTGGTTGGCGGGACGGGAGGGTGGGATGCTGCATAGCAACCCACCCTGGTGCTGGCGCGACGCCAGCCGAGAGCTTTTTCCTCTTGACGACTCCGCTCTTTTTTTTTGTTGCCATTTCGCTCGTAATTGGCGCGGTAATGCAGCCATCAAAATGAGGCCCGATCATTTTCGCCCAACATTTTGCTACTTGTTTGTCTCGCGCGAGACCGAAACTTTTGTTGCTCTTTTAAGTCTTTCCAGTCTCTCTTGGCATCCGACGCAGTCAGACTCGCAGAGTGACTTTTGCGTTTGACATTTCCAGAGACGTAGAAATAAAGTCAGCCTGCCGAAAACGTTTTTCTCCGTTGAAGAAAAAGAAGAATCAATCTTCATCCGCGCCATTCACAGAACTAACGTAAATCACTGCAAATTGAACTATAAAATAAATCAAGAGTTTATTGTTCAATTTTTGGAACAGCACGGATATTTAGCAATCAAAATTAAAATGATCTAAATTGAATTTTTAATTTATTTTTTAAATCATTCTTTTTGAAGGTTAAAGGAAATTTAAAATTCACGAATTTAAATTTAAAAAAAGACAAATAAGCATTCACCTTCTAGATTTTCAAACATCTTATTTTAAAAGCAGTCACTTTTGTGTAAAAATAATTATGATTTTTTTTCCTATTGTTGCTGTTTTTTTTTTTCAATTGTAAAAAAAACCTTTTAAAATTTGAAAAATAAAATTAATTTTTTGGAGGGAATCATTTGAATTGTAGAAAACAGCGTATCTCTAGCAAAAACTTCCAAGATATAAAAAAGGCCCAATCACTCTCGGTTTTTCATAAAAATATAATTTAATAATTCAAAAATCATGCAGCCAAACTTCTTGGCTTTTTTGCATAAAAATATTGAAAACAACAACTTTGCTATTTGATTATTCATTTCTTAAAATATAATCAATAAAATTTAATATAACTATAACTTTTACTAATTATTTTTATAAAAATTATACCAAAACTACAAATTATTTATTGGGATTTTATATAATATTCTCTGTTATACTTAATAATAATCTTATTTGGATGGAATAGATAAATGTGCTATGATCCCCATTGCAAACACAATCTTCTCTCTTTGTTTGCTCTTACTCATATTACTGCAAAGAGCCCCTTGCGGGCATGTGTCTCTGCTCTTTATCTGATCGAGATCAATGTTTCAATCAAGCCAAGCTCCCCAGACTGGATTGTCCCCCAGACCCAGACATGTTTTTCTTCTCACTCCACCTCCTCTTTCTGTGCGCATCCGAACAGAATCAAATGTAAAAAATTCATCGACACAACCATTAAAAATATCGATAAATGATCAACCAAGTAGGCCTTCTTTCGGGTGAGGAAAAATGGTACTTTCATTTACTGAAAAAAAAATTTCAACGATTTAAGTCTGGCAAACAATGTATTATGTTTAAAGTTTATATTTTGTACTTTTTTTGTAAAAATCTATAAATTATAAAATTATTTATAATAATAATTTAAATAATAAACACAGAAGGTTTATTAATTTTGTATTAATTTTATCATTGATCCGAATTTTACTAAAAAAAAAAAAAAAAAAAAAAAAATCATTTTTGAAAAATAATGGAAGCTGTTTTTTTTTTAAATAATTTAAATTTAAAATTTTCGAATGGTTTCTATACAGATGTTTTTGTTGTTGACGTAGAATCTATTTTAATCCTTTTTATATAATTTCTCTATAAAGATTATAATTAAAAGTTTGTTTATGTTCTTTGACAAAAAGAATATTGTAAAAAGTTGCATTGGCACGAAGGTTCAATCGCCTGGCGCGGTGATTCAGCAACAATTTTTCGGCGCGTTCTGCACGCTTCGTTTCACCCCCTCGCTAATTGCAAACCGCGTGAATCTGGACACGGCTCTGATTTTACAACTTCCTCGCATCGATTTTCGGCCGCGTTTTTATATTTGCGTGCGTAATTAAGAGGCGGATATTGCGACAGAGGGTCGATTTCGAGGGATGTGAAAAACCCTCGAGGGTCGCCGCCTCGGCAAAACTGCAAGTCCTTGAGAGAGGAAGCAAAAGAGGCTCTCGACAAGCGTACGGACGAGCGAGAGGCCAGTTTTGTTGCCTCACAAACATCAACAACAACGAATTGCACAGAAAAAGCGACGCAGGTTGTTCGAAATGCGGGTCAGCATCTGCTCGGAATTACGCTACTTTAAATTATACAATAAAATGCGCGCTCTTGTCCGCGGCCAGCCAGCGTGCCGACGGCCCGTGAATTTCCACCAAGGCTGATCCTTCGCCTTGAAAAAACCACGCGCTCAAAGTGCAACGGGTGCGTTGCTCTTAACGCTCCGGGAAATTTTAATAATTTGATATTCTCATGTAAAAAGTGGTTTTGTTTGTTTGGCAACAAAAACGTAAATCAAAACATCTGCGTTCTTTTTTTTCAAACAGAATGAAGAATGCTAGTATTTTTACTCTAATCCTAAGGAATATCTTTCTATTTTTAAGAAAGGACATAATTGAACGGTTTGATATCTTTCAATTTAGATAATTTTATTTTTTAATTTTAAAATGCTAAAAATTGTGACCAATTTTGGTAAAAAAGGCACTAACTAACATTTTTGGTGATTTGAAACTTTTAAATCAGCTTTTCCTCAATGGGTTTTTATAGTTGTTTATTGTTTAAGCAAAACAATTTCCTGCTCTACATGTTTCGGCTGCGGGCTGAAGCCATGATTCATGAGCTGTGGAATCATCTTGACAAAAATTAGAACAAAAATAAATCTTTTACAAAATATTTTCCTTTTAAATCAACACTTTTTCTTAAAAAATTATTCAAAGTTACACTTTTTTCACCATGAATCGGTCCTTGAACGTGAAATTCTACCACAAAAATTACTAATAAGTAATAAAAAATTCTCTTTACAATTTTTTTTAAAGATTTTTCTAAATTTCATCAAGCCTCATTACGTAAAAATCAGCCTGATTTATTTTGATGTAATTTATTTAAGAATTTTTGCAAATAAATGTTATTGTTGTTTATTTGTCCAAATTGTTACATCACATTGTCAGTTGAGAAATCATAGGATAGCTTAGAAAATTCTCCTAAACTGACTTTTTATTTTACAAGAAAGTTATAAAATTATTTTTGCCTGATTAAAATTAATGAAAAAGAAAATTTCATAAAAAAGTCAAACTTTTTTCACACAAATTAAGTTAGTAAATTAAAATTTTACATTAGGATCTCTAAATTCACATTGTAATTGAGGAAAACTGTTCATTAGACAAAAAGAAAATTTAATAATTATGTCATTTATATTTTTCTTCTACGATTTACGCAGTTTGTTGTGGAACTTTGTAGAGAAGCAGAAACGATTTAAGGTTATCTGATTGTGAGAACTTGAACTTGGAGACGCGAGGTCAAGTTCTGGTCATTATCATTCTCGGAAAACAATATTGCACACACATAACAGTGCTTCGCTCTTGATTCGCTCGTCTCTCCCATGATTTGAGGAAAAAATGAAAGATCAACTGATAGGACCGTCTCAAACTCGTTTGTCGTGGGAATTTTTCCATTTTTTCCCACTCAGTCTGTCAAGAGAGCAAACAAACAAACACGCGAGCAATTTTGCTTCACATACCGAATTAAGAAACGAAAGAGGATTAAAAATATTTAAATAAATGTCGCCGTCTGGCTTTTTTATTTCATTAATCCGGCTTAACTAGCGTTTGTAAGAGGAAAGTGAAGTAGCGTCTCGTCTGTGTTTGGATTTGGCTCCAACACGGCCAAAATAAACAGGCATAAATTTAAAAGCTACCCCCTTGGTGCGTCGGTTAAAAGCGCCTCAAAAGCAGCCCCTTCGTTTCCAGGGGCTATTTGTGTTAGCTAAGGCAGGGGAAGCCATCCGGTATTAAATGTGCTTGTTTTAGGAAATCTTCAAAATTCCAAGTTCATTGTGGTTGTGAGAAAAAGGAAAATATTATTCTTTTGATAGTAAGGCATTGTTTTGAAAAGAATAAAACGTCAAGTCAAAGAAATTTTATTTGGTCTTAAGAAAATGGAAATATTTTCACTCCCCGAATTGAAAAATTAGTTTTTTTCAGTGAAGTTACTACTTATTTTTTACTGAAATTAATTAAAAAAGTTTTATCTTCAAAAAACTTGTTTAGGCATTTTTGTGAGTTTTAAGTTAAGTTTATTGGAATTCGTGCACAGAGGGAATAAGTAATCACAAGGACATTTCAAAATAAAAATAGAAGTTAAAAATAGGCTCTTCTGTCAACTTTTAGCACGCGAATTTTAAGGGCGTGGCGTCTGCCTCATCTCAAGTTCAGCGAGTAGGGAAAAACACAATCGAAAGTCTACCTGCCTTCCATGTTAATGAGCAAAACTCTTAACCGGCGCCGGATAAATTTCCCCTCTCCGCGAATATTTTAATCGCACTCGGGCCGGCGAAGAAAGCGTCAGAACGGAAAACACGGGGGTTGCGTTTGAAGGGGTTGAAACTGCGGTCGGAGACGTGCGGAGAGGCTCATTGCAGCAGCTGCATTAAATACAGCCCCGAGATAACGAGCGGCGTGAATTATTTAGTCTCTTTTTGTCACACTTTTGAAGCCGTGCAGCCGAGCAGACGAATCTCACGTGTGTGGTTTCATCTCATGTAAGCTTCCTTTTTAAAATCACGCTTCTTTCCGCAGTTTGCGATTTCCCTGTCGGAGTCAAAAAGTGTAAAATTTGTTGTTTACGACCTCGGCATTTCCTGAAATCGTGTCGTTCTGCTGTCGATTTTGATCGAGTTTTCGTTTTTTCTCAATTAAATTAACCTTTTCGTATTTAAAAAAAATTCATGTTGGTAAAAAAATATCTTAATCTATTACTCATTTGTATTATGAATATTATTGAATTATTTTATCAATCTCAACTATAACTGATAAGAATAAATAATAATTATAATCATAATTTAATTAAAATTAAAAAAATATGACAATCATTTTTCTTCTCAGTTATCCAAAAATCATTTAAACCCGTGTTGCAAGTGAAAACAACCTAGTGTTTCCAAAGCTGATTCACAATTTTAAATACAAATTTGCACACAAAAAAGTTGCCTGGGATTATTTGAGGTCGGCGACTTCCAGGTTGCATTTTTATCAATGTGCGTGAGAAGCGAATACTTATTAGCGCGAAAATGAAAGTGTCCTGAGCTTTAATTTAATTAATCTAACGAGCTGCTTAATTATAAATAATTATTTTAATTATTTAGATTCAGATAATTCTATTATAATAATTTTATTCATTCTCACTGCGAAAAGTCAAACTGGTGAATTTCAAGTTTTGATGCAAATATTTAATTGGACTCGCGCCAAGACAATTTCATTGTATGATGTCACGCTGTTCAAATTAGCACTTAGACTAAATTTCAAGTTTTTTATTTTCTTCTTAGTGTTTATTGATTAAAAAATTTTGCATTTGTGAATAAAAACCAACATAACTTTGAAAGATACCCTTTTTTCTTTATCAATTCATAAATATCCTAATTCTTAAAATTTAAATTGTATTAATTCAATTTTGCCCAAAGCGGCCTTTTTATAAAATGTGTAGCAAAAAATTAGAAGTTTCTGAAAGTTCTTCTTAATTGCAAGTGAAGATTGTCTTTGCTGCGTGGGCACGTCAATTTTGATGAGGATATAATGCTTCCTCTGAAAACTTCAGCATATTAAAATAAATAAAGAGCATGAAGAAGAGCTCGAAAGTTTCCCAGCGTAGTATTGCCCTGCGAATGACTCATAGGAATAATCTTGCTTTCAAGTGAGCCGGAATCGAGTTCACTAAAACTCACAGCAGTGCATTTTTTGTTGTCGGTAAAAAATAAAGTGCAAATTTTTAAATTTTAATAGCCGTGATAACAAATTCTGCTTGTAAAAATCTTGCAATTTTAAAAATTATGAATAATAAGAAAATACAATAATTAATTTATTGCAATGTTTATTCTTAATTTTGAATTAATTTTTGTATAATTTCCGCTCAAATAAAACGTAAATAATTAGGATATTGTAAATTTTTTGAAATAAACAACCGTGATTTTTTGTGTGTTGCAGGTCGAGCTGCCTGGAAACCCGCCGGTGGTACATGTTAGTGCCGGAGCGGCGCCGGCGTCGCCGTACTTAAGGCTGGCTCGGAGCCCGTCGGCCGTCAGTGGAGGATCGCGATTCGTGTTGTTGTGAGAGCGGCCGTGTTGGATCTGCATGCGAAGAAGCGGCGGCCACTGAGTTCTGACAGACACTAGCTGCGATGTGGGCCACCCTGGTGACGGCCGGCCTGCTCGGCCTGGCCGCCCTGGCGAGCGGCGACCTGCCGCCGGAGCACGACCGACCCCTGTACGATGATCTCAAAAACGTGATGCCCTACGAGCCCGTCATCTACTCGCCACCCAACGTCAGTGTCGCTTACAAGTCCACCACCAAATTCAACCCCAAGGGGATGGGACACCTCTACATGGTCACGTCCATGTTCATGCAGTACATCCAGAAAGGCGACCCTTTGCCGAAAGGTAAGCTGAACATTTTTTTATTACGTAAACCTTTAAAAAAAAATCGCAACCAATTAATAGTTTTTATTTTATTTTTCAAAAAATCGGTTAAAACCATCCCTGGTGAAAAGCAGGTCGTTGATTTTGGGATCATTGAAAATTTAAAACACAATACAACGAATTTTAATCAAAATTTAATAATTTGTTGGAGGTTTGAAGTAAATAATTTGTCTTTGTTTGATTTAAAATAACTAATTACTTTTAATTTGTTTATTTGAACGTAATCACCGAATCGAGGGCCAAATTACTATTTATATTCTACTGCTTTTGTTCTCCGACGAGGCGGCTCTTGAGGTTTACGCTCTCAAGGTCCCTTCAACGGAAATCGGCTGTCTGGTCTCAACTGAATGACCAGAGGAATGCCCTTGTGTCTTTGCCCGAATTGGAGCAGAGTGGGCGAGACTTAATTCTAACCTGAAATTATGTCCACTGCAATTTGCAGTTATTTTGCGTAGGCTTTAGTTATGACTTAAAAGTTGCAAAGAAAAAATTATACAAGTTCTCATAATTATTGAAAATTTAATATTACATTTTATTGTAAAAAATATTGTTTGCCTTCCGAAGTTTCAAAGAATTATTTCAGTATTTGTTTCCCCCAAATGCACCAGCCAGCCTCATTCCTCTTCATAATCAACCCTAAGCAAACAAATATCTCAAACCACTCCCATTTGAGCCTCCCTCTTTCCTCCGAGGGATGCGAATGCTGTGAAATCTGCCTCTCTTGGTTCGCATTTCCAAGCATTATGTGTCCTCTCGCAACACGAGAGCAAAGGAGCAGTCTTGCTACATAAAAAGGAACCCTTGTGCTGCGTCTGGTGGAAATTGAAGAGTGTAAAAAAGCTCTCACGTATCTCCCGTCGTCTCCCATTTTTGCTGCGGTGGCTGCTAAACACCTGCAGTGGTCTTGGGTTGCTCCTGGTCTTGAGGCTGCGTGGCATTGAACGTCTCTTTCTTTCTCTCTTTCTCTCCCCGACAACAATGAATGCACCGCGGCCCGTATCAAGGAATTTGAACCAACCCCCCGGCACCCCCACCGTCGGGGGTGAGAACGAGAAAAATAAATATCGTCTGAAAGTCTCTTTGGAGATCCCGAAAGAAGCTCGAATTGATAGTGTGCACCGGATTTGAAGCTAGGGGTGAACGCAGAGGGGTTGAACGGAGCCTAGGGACGGACTCTCAATTCCAAGTTTATCCACTTTATTTCATCGATACCATAAAAAAATCATAGTAAACCTTGTATTGCTAATTCTGTTTAAAAAAAGATTCAAATTAACATTTTTATTTTGCTCGCAAAAAAACTAATAGCTCTAAAATTCTAATTAAATTGTTATGGAATTTTTCATAAATAAGAAGAGCTCTTGAAAATTAAAAAGAATTGGACTAATAAAGAACAGCAATAAACATAAGTATAAATTTTTTTAATTAAAAACAACTCGTATTTTCATCTTTAGTAATTTCACTTGCCAGGTAAAAACGTGTATAATAAATAAAATAGTAAATCGCAAATAATAATAAAATAGCATCGTTCGAGGCCACATCCATTTTGTTGCCACGAAGCCGGTTTTCGTGGAGCTCGCATCATTAATAAAAAGGAGCTTCTTCGTCTTCTTCTTCTTGGCCAGATTATTAAATTCAGCCCGAAGCGATCGTGGAAAAGGCGGCGGCACACGCATCACTGACTCACGTTCGCTGGTATCGGCAAAACCAAAACTTTTTTTGGAAATATAATCGTCTTGGGTCGCGGCCAAGCTGAAAACATCAACCGATAATCGCCCTAATGCATCCCATGGAAAATTGTTTAAAAGCAACAATGCGTGCATTACTATAGCTCGTTTTTTTTCACGGTCGAGAGCAACCAGCTGAGAAGGCTGCAATTAAAATCAAGAGACAGCGCCCAGGGCGTAGCTCAGTCGGTTGTAATCTCTTGACCATTTCGAGGGGTCGACCCGCAGAACAGACCGTCGCAGTAGTAGCGGTTACTCCAGATAATTTCACAGCGATGACGCAAACGTGACCGTCTTCTTCTGCAGATGAAAATTATTGCTCCACAAAACGCTCTCCTTTTGCCACTTTTTTCAAAACAAAATTAAAATATTTGACTCGAAGGTCTTTGATACCGGATGTTTTTTTTTTATATTAAATATGGGCAGGAACTTTTGAATTGTTTTGAATCTTAAATTTATTTACTGATTTGACTTGGTCATGACGAGCAAAGCTTTTATCTCTATTTTCCATTTTGTAACGGATATGCTTCTCAATTCGAGTGTCTTTCTTGAGCGGACCTTGAATAATTTCACCCAGAACGAGCGCATACTGATCACTGGGATGCGGTTTCTTGATTTTATCTTAAACGGTCGTAAATTGTGCCGGCAGATAACATCTGCTTGTTAAGTAATCACGCTTTAAAAAGTGGAATTCATTAGGAAATACAAGGTTCAATTCAATATTTGTCAAAAGTTTTAGAAAAATGACATGTACAGGAAGGAATTGGACTTGTTTGACATAAAAAAAAATAAAATTTGCACATCTCACTTCCTCGCGTGCCAAAAATGCTGCATTAATTGAAATGCGACATGTTTGAAAAATCTCTCACGCCGCGCTTATGCAACACAAAAGCCGCCTAAATTTAGAAATGCTCGGCTGGTTCTCTTTGTGCTGATCACATTCACTGGCTAGAAAAAGTATATACAGTGCAAAACTTTTTTATGATGTGCTCGCTGTGCCGAGCGAGCACTTCATCGCTATGCTTGCACAAAAGGGCGAATTTTTTTATTGCGCTCCTTTTTTTCCACGTTCGAATCTGATTCGCTTTGATGTGAACTAAACCCTGGAAAACAAACCACAGCCGCCGAAAGGTGCTCCAGCTTTTCATTTCGTATATCAGAATATAAAGAAACTCCCGGCGCGAAAAGTTCGCCACAGGCGCGCGGTTGAAAAAAGGAACGAGAAAGTGGAGCGATTTTATATAATGTAAAATGCAGCTTTTGAACTTTCTGCATTATGCATGAAATGAGCAGCTGCCGAGTTTTAAGAGGGTTAGAAATCTGCTTGAGAAGCAAATAACTTCTTGTGTTTGATGTACGCAAGCAGGAATTAATTATGACGGAAAATTCGTTGGCAAAAAATTTACTCTGATTACAATTTAGGATTTTAAATAAAATATAAAAGAATCTTTTAGAGATCAATTATTTAGTGGCCCAGATTTTTTATTTATTATGAAATATTACATTTTTTTTTTCAAATCAATAACCAAGAATAAAAAATGAACATCAAAGGACAGATTGTATGAATATCAAAGCGGCGAGAAAAGTGTGTTTATCCAGCACACGCCGGGCCAGCTGCGACCAAGGGAATGTGTTTGCTTTGAAGAGGGTCCAGAGAGAAGATTGCGCGCCGCACCAAATAGAGCACCATTCGCTCCACTTCAGCACGTCAAGTTTCGCTTATTTGCTCTCGTGTCATCTCGACCGATTGATACGAGCTGTTTCAAACGCACTTGCCCCCGCACAAAGGGAAACGCAAATCGGGAAAAATTGCATCAAGTCAGCCGCACGTGCAGGGGATGGAAAATCGATGTCGGCCTGGATGCTGCAATGACCCATTTTACTTTCACGATTAATGGCGAACTTGAGGCCTTTACCGAGCTTGCAAATTGCACATTGTCCCCATCTGGGGCAAACATTGCACTGACCGATTTCCAGCAGCAGCAACAATGGCCAGTGCTGGCTTGGCAGAAGCTCGTGCGAAATTCTGCTGGCGTCGCGAATATTGTTCGTGGCAATTCCGGTTGAATAATTTATCAAGAAGAAGTGCATTTACTTCCGTCCGATTTAGTACTTTCATTTATTTTAAAATGCCAGCAGAGCTTTTTAACGTGACTTTTATAATAAATAATATTGGTTTGCAATAAACTGAAAAACCATGATAGGCTAGTTAAATGAAAGAAAAGTCGAGTATTTAAATGTTTAAATTCATTGCGAATCAACATTTTTGCAGAGTTTTGTAGTTTTTCAGATTCCTAAAAAAAAAATAATAATTCAATTTCTTTTCAACTAAGTTAAATAGAGCTTATAAAAAACAGAAATTTAAATTTAAAATCAACTAGAATGAACTAATTACCTTTTTTTAAACAATTTGCATTCTATTTTAATATTTTTTTTATTATTTGAAGAAAATTGATTTCACAACAACAATAGTTTTAACAATTGCAAGCGCCACTTATAAATCTGAGAAACTGGATTTATATTTGAAATTTACTTTTTTTTAATAATACAAGTTTTTGAAAACTTTATTATGAACCAAAATTATGATCATAATTTTATCAAATTCAAAATTCCCAAGGGAGACAAATTTTAGCAACAGTTTTGCTCTGAACGTGTCTGTAATCTCGCAGGCCTAAAATAAATCACTCTTCGCCCTCATTAATCTTCCTCGCCCGTAAGTTGCCAATTCAATTTCCACCCAACATCGCTCACTAGCAGCCTTTTCCAGCAGCGGGCTTATCAGCAACAAAGCCAGTTCCGCGTATAATATATTTTCGAGAACTTTATTTTCTTTTTTGATCCGTTCCACGAAGGGCGCGAGAGTGGGTTTGTTGTGGTGCGCGCGCGACCTGACCTCCTGCAATCGCGAAACACGCGCGCACCACCCCATCCAGGGGCTGAGGCCGCGTACATTTGTGTGTGTGTGCGTCGAGCGAATCGATAATGGTACACGCGAAAGACGCAGTTTCCACCGCCGAGTGTAGCAAGCAGACGATCTGCCGTCGACAGAGGCCCCTATTTTGTTTTGGTTTGTGCGCCGCCTATGCTCTGCGCTGCTCCTACGTACACACACAAACACTGCTGCTGATAGTGTTAATAAAAATGCCGGCGAGCGCCACATAAAATATCGTCCTCGACTTCCTTTTCCTCTAACTGTTGTACACCGACGCGTCTCGTTTAAAAATCTCCTTTTTTTAT